TCACACATTTTGAATGTTATGTAGTAGTGTGAGAATAGGTTAAATTTGAAGAGTGTGTGAAGGAGTGGTTTGAATAAAAATATATGAGAAATAATTATGAAGATAAAATATCTTCATAATTTCGAAAAAAATATATCATGTAAACACTATCTTAAAAAATATATCCATTAAAACACATAATTTTGAAAAAAATATTTTCCTACATTTTTAATAAAAATTTAAAATATTATGCAGCACATAGTTGAGAATATATAAACACAATCTATAATCAAATAAAAATGAAAACTAATAAAAACATAACATCTATAATCAATATTATTAATATTTAAAAGCTAAATGAAATATAAGTAGTAAAAAAATACCTGAGAAATGTTGAATGTAATGAAGTAGTGTGAAAATAAGTTAAATTTGAAGAATGAGTGAAGTAGTGGGTGAAGGGGTGGTTTAAATAAAAAAAAATGTGAGTGATAATTAAGAAGATGAAGGGGTGGGTGAAGTTGGATGGTTGGGATGGAAGTTGTTGTAATGTGTGGTGAAGTGGAAAAGGTGGAAAGTGGAAAAATAGTGGAAAAGTTGGCTCTAATGTGTGGTGGAGTGAAAGAGAGAAAAGTTAATTATTTCCGCATGTAGCACATGCAAACCGGAAAAAAAACTACTCGCATACGCGGTTTCACTGCAAAAATTACTGACAAATCGTCAGTTTTGATTTTTTTTAATTTTTTTTAGTTTCGCAAGTACTATGTGCGATTGTCCATGTGAGGAATTTAATGTTCCACTTTAGGAAATAGTTTTTTCTTTTTTCCGTCTGAGGGAAACCATTCGATTTTAGCTGTCGTGTGTAAATCATTAAGGATTTGATTTTGCACTTGCAAAGCATTAATATAAACTTAATACAAATACTATCAATCATACTAAGAGCACTCGAAATAGGTATGAAGCCCCATGGCTTCAAACTTTCTCTATCTGCCACGTCAGTTTTAACTTACCTCACAGATTCATTAGAAATGAGTTCAAACCTTCATTTCTTACACTTTTATATAAACATCTTCTAAAACTAAATTAATAAAATTTAATTATTTTATTATTTAGTTATATTAAAACGAGAATAAAAAAATTACATTCATTAAGTTTAAAGAAATTAAAGCGACAATAATTTAAAAAAATTAAAGCGACAATTATAAAAAAAAATATTAATAAAAAAAACTAAGGTAAATTATATTTAGCCTTGATCTCTTTTTGTATTCTCTCGAAGATCATACGTTTGAAGCCTGATAATGTATCAAGGACCGAGCACATTCCTCATAAACTCGAATAAACTTTTGGACTTTACGGTTGATGTGGCCCCATTTAGAAGTGAGTTGGTCTCGGGTACGGTACGAGGCGTCCTTGTTCTTTGCCGTAAAGAACTTCTCCTCAATACGATCCCACATCGCATCCTTCGTTTGCTCCGAACCTTTAAAGAGTATAACATGAATTTTTTTAACACAAATATATAACACGATTATATAAATAAGAACACAAATATATTAGAAAACATATAATTTTTACCAACGATAGGATGCTCGAAGACGTCAACCTAAGCCGATGCCAACAATCACTCTTCCTCTAGCGTCCACTTTTGGATTGATTGTTCCGCCTCGGTCATCGCTTGAGTGCCTTTCGCTTTGTTGTTTTTCCGGCGTGCATTTTTTTGGTGCCGAATGGTTCCAGTTCAGTCTTCGGAACCGACTCACGCTCATAGAGGTACCCCGATGGTTGCGTCTGGAACAATGGTGGATTACTCCCATATTGTTGGAAGATCCACATGGCGTGCTCCTTAGGCTCGAGATCGTCGAGGGAAATGCCGGAGCCGGAGGGATTCATGTAAAAAAAGAATTGGAGAATTGAGAATTGAAGATGTGAAGACGATTGATTAGAATTTGACATGATTTAGCATGATCTTATCAGATCGAATCTGGATGTAGTTATATTTAAAATTGTTTTTGATCTGATCTGATTTCAGTAAAATAAATAATAAAAAAAATAAATTAAAGAGAATTGGCCAAAATGGGGTATACATGATGGGGTAACATGGTAACAAAAGCATTACTCTTAAAAATAACCTCATTCACAATCTTACTCACTTCACACCTGTAAATTCTAGAGGTGGGCAAAAATACCAGCTCGACATTATTCGAAACCAAACTGACGTTGCAGATACCGAATCGAAAGCAAGGTTTTAAATGGTTCTAGTAAATTATATCCCAAACCGAATCGATCCGTTTTTAAAATAGTACGAAATGGGTTCCCAAAAAATAAAAACCAAAAATACCGAAACGAACCATTAGCACTAAAGTATTAAATTAATAAATTAGTTATACATTTTTATTTGTTATTTTAAGTAAGTTTAGGTAATATTTATTTTGTGTGACTTTGGCCCTATTCCGTTCAACTTATTTTTTCTTATTTTTTCTTATTCTTATTAAAATTAGATCAAATCAAATCAGATCAAAACAAATCAGATCAGATCAGATCCAATCAGATCAGATTAGATCAGACCAGATCAGATCCAATCAGATCAGATTAGATCAGACCAGATCAGATCCAATCAGATCAGATTAGATCAGACCAGATCAGATCCAATCAGATCAGATCAGACCAGATCAGATCCCATAAAGAATTATTGTTGTTGTTGTTGTTCTTATTATTATTATTATTATTATTATTATTATTCTTAAAAATGAAAAAGAATAAACTTTAAAAACAAGTTAAATAGAAAACTGAGAAATTAATCCTTAACTATTAGACGTCGAAAAAATTATTTTTAAAATACATTGACAATGTCAATCTAATTCTACTTTTAAAATACATTTTTATTGCTACCTGTAATTTGAGTTTCTAAAGTTTTGATCTTTTATAAGGATGAGATATTTTAATAAAAATACTATCTCTTCTCTGTATTGATTTTATATAAATTAAATATTTATTCTAATGTATGTATGAACTAATTATTAAAATATTGAATCAATATTCTTATTTCACAAACAATAATCATAAAATAAAAAATATTATTACATTAAAATATGAATGATTATTCTAATATATAAATTAACTAATTTTATTTTATTAAAAAATAATTATAAAATAAAAAATATTGATTATATTATAATATGAATTATCATTACAATTTTCAAACGTTATTATAAACTCAAATCAAATTATTGATTTGAATTTTAAATCAAATCATAATTAATCATATCAAATCCAATCAGATCAGATCTAATTAGATCAGATCAGATTAGATCAGATCCAATCAGATCAGACCAGATCAGATCAGATCAGAACTACAAAAAATTAGATCAGATCAGAAAAAATAAGTTGAACGGAACAGAGCCTTTAGCATAATTAAACTTTTGTTTTTATAATACTTTATTATCCCAAAATACATCTCAAATTATAATTTTATTTCTTGAAAAATCAAACTATAATTATGTTTTGTCAAAAATTGAAACTAAATAAAGTACTTATTGAGTAAGAATGCATAAAAATATTAGTTCACAATGTTTTTCAATTTACTCTTTTCCCTTTCTAAAATTCTAAATAGATTTTGTTGAAATATTGTAAAAGGAATTTTGTATTAGAATTTCAAAAAAAAAGGTATAAATGTCTAATTTCTTAAGTTTAACTCCTATTTAAGTTTTAAAAGATTGCTGCTCTGATTGACAAATTATATGGTTCAACCAGGTGTACCTTTCTCTTGATACATCGACAAACTTAAAACTAAAAATAAAATTTAAGGATGAACATTAATTTTAGAATGAATTATCTGTTGTGTCAGAATGAACATGTTTCTAAATAAGCACTGCGTTAGTTCAGAATTAATAAATGCTAAGCAGGCTTTAGAATGAACACTATGGTAGAAAATAAACATTCGGTTGATTCAACATGAGTATTCGCTGGGTGTACCTAGCTATACATATAGCCAAGTGTACGGTATATATTCTCGCTCTAATTTAGGTCTTTTGATACTTTTTAGTATTCCATTCTTTAGTTAATGTAGTTTATCTTTGAGTTGAAAAATATGGACCTTTACACTATGTTTGGTTCAAGGAATTCGGAAAGAAAAGAAAAGAGAATAATTTTTTCTCATTTTCCTCACAAAAAGGAGGAATTTTGTTTTTGCTTCACTTAGTACATTTTACCTTCTCATTTTGTTTTCTTTGCACTTTTTTGAAAAACATTTTCCACTTCATTTTCTTTTCTTTTTTTCTTTCAAATCCATTGAACCAAACATAATGTTAAAGAGTTCGAGTCCATATACCATACTGATGGGATAATACCTGTAGACCTGTAAGATACTTGGTTCCATCAATTAAAAAAACCTATTAGGGAAAACCTAACCATATGTCCATATGCTCCTATTCTAGTGTAAATAAGGCATCAAGCAATGGAGAAAGGTGATCTCCTTCTACAATCTACAAACCATCTCTCTCATATTTATCATCTTTCCTAAAGCGTCAAGCTTCATCAATAGTTATCGTGCCGAAGTTGTACAAATAGTCTCCTGATCAATAATAAAATATTGTATCTACTTGGCATGATACCGCCTAAAAATGCTCGTGATACAAATGCTCGTGATATTTTTTATTAGATTTATCTTCTAAAATGCGCGTGATACAAATAGTCGCCTAAAAATACTCGTGATAAATTTATTATATTTATCTTCTAAAATACTTCGTAATTTCAAACCATTATTATATTTGGAATATCTTGGAAGAATAACATTTTGGATTAAAAGCCATCTAAACTAATAATACTCCATCCAATTAAACCATCCCAGGATTTTTCAAGTTATCACTAAAGTGGAAATTCCATAGCATCTGCTTTAAATAAAAAGCTCACTTAATTAGTTTCTTTAATTTATTCAGAAGAAACAATAATAACTAACAACCCAACACTGTATAATCCCAACGACACTGAGATCAAGGGGATGTATTAGTGCCCAAAACAACCTTGGACGCCCCCACACTATTACATTATTCATTTGAAGAGCACACAGATGAGTCTCACTGCACTCTCATTAACTATTTTTTGGCATGCCTTTGGCAAAAAACTTGGAGCCTTCCAAGGCCATCCTCAAGAGACAACGGTTCAATTGCAAAAGATATACGCAGCCAGTTCTTGAGCCCCACCCCGAATCCTGGGTGTTACGTTATTGCCACCAACGTTACGGTAATATACAATGAATAGGGAGCGGTTCCCGTGGCATTGATTATCAATGTCATGAGATGACCCAGGAGTCCTATGGGTGCCCCGTTCGTAAAATTGACGATTCCTAATCCTTCGGGATGAGGGGGGGTTTTAGAGGAGTAGGAACCACCAATTCTTCGTACAGAGCATCTTAGGTGTCTCCGGTCATGCTATGACATTCTCGGGCAATGTCACATGAACCGGGGTGCACTGAATAATGATAGATGAATACCATCCATATATATATGGTACAAGGCTTAATTGCTTTGTCATATATACCTGGGAAAATTATCACAGATTCCTCCTTGGCTAGCTTGAGACAAAAGTCAAAATCATCCACAATGTCTTCCAAGAGATCCAAATTCAGTTTTACCTAGCAGGTTGAATTGGAAATATTCATTTCAGAACATGCATTCTTTTTACCATGTAATTAGTTAAGAGTAAAAACATGAAAGATAACAACACTAATCTTACCATTGCAAACATTGATCCTTCGGGTTTGCTTGGACACGTGATGCATCGGATCTCATTCGTTCTTTCGTAACATATGTTGGATGCTTCTCTAAGTACATTCAGAATTTTAGAGAAAAATTCTGGTTTTGTATTTAGAAGGATATCAGAGATTGCTCCCTGCAAATACCACAATAAAGTTATTGCTTCAAATGAGTTAATTATGACTCATCCAAAAAAGTATAGTTAAGATCATACAAACACAGAACACAATATGAAAAATAGTGGAGAAAATTTGATTAAAGAGAACAATGACTTCAAACCTGGATAAAGGTTGCAGGGTCACACGAAATATCGAGTAAACCGGCAATGCCATCTATAACCTGCTTATAGAAAACATATTAAAACTTTTGCTTGAGAAATCGTAGGATCACATCCTCAGAGAATTTTTAATCATCCTGCCTGAAAATGTTATCTAGGGGCCGGGTTTTTAAGCAATGAACATGAACTCTTGTGGTATGATTCTTTGACATGGTATCAGAGCTTTCAAGACCTAGAGGTCACGTGTTCAAAATCAAGTTTGGGTCGAGTTGCTTTCTTGACAAAAATATTCATAAATTTTTTATATATATTCTTTTTCCTTTCTCTAAATACCTAACATAAATATCCATAATTTAATGTTGACACTAAAAACCCTCATGTCTAGGCTATTTGTGATAGGGAGAATTGAAGGGAAGGAAAGAAAATACCCCTTCTTCCTTAAGGATTCCATTGGTATCATTGACAACAAGCCACCCAAGTTTCCAGCCTGGTACAATCCACCTCTTTGAAATGGATCCAAGAGTAATAACCGGAACGATTGATCCGAAAACTCCCATGGGCACAAAAGGGTTGTCTCCGAAAGCAAGATGGCCATAAACTTCATCAGCAACTACAAGAATCCCAAGCTTTCTTGCAGTCTCTGCAATCTAAAATGAACAAACCATGTGGAAAATGAGTAGGGTACGTTTACACAACTTGGATCGCACTAAAACGTCACGCAACATAATTACGTAGACAGGGACGCATGTACCTTCTTCAAGTGTTGGTATTTGAAGACATTCCCACACGGATTACCGGGGTTGATAATGACAATCGCAACGGTGTTTTCATCTGCGAGAGCTTCAACAGAAACAAGGTCGACTTCCCAATCATGATCCGGAAGAAGATCAAAGTAGCGAAGTTGCAAATTTGAATGTGCAGCCCGGGCTTCATAGTAAGGGAAGCCTGGCCTTGGAAGTAAAATGTTGGCATTTGGGCGGGCGAGAACGGGTAGAATGACTTCTATTGCTTGGGAGCATCCAACTGTAAGGTAAACATCTTCTTCTGATAGCTTATATGGCAGGTCCTTTGACAGGTACTCAGCAACTGCCCTACTCATTCAACACCCATTTATCAAATATTGGTATATGAAAGGGTTAGTTGGACTAAACCCACACTCTAGAGGCTTAAATCCACACCCCTAGCTTGCCTAAATCCATATCATAAATGGGCAGAAAGACATTTATATGAAACCCATACTATAAATGGCAAATATGAAACTTAATCTGGATGAAGCTGTACAAATTGTTCTGTCGTATAGGAAAACTAGGATCATCTTTTCCAAGACAATTAATGAAAATTAAAAGTACAAGTTGTTACTACTCGTTTTTAAATGTATAAATTTATATTTTCATACAAATTTTTAAAGAAATTACTACTCGTTCTTACTACATGTTACAAAATTAAAATTATAAGTATATTTATTTTCTTACTATTCATTTTTAATGTATAAATTTATATTTTCATACAAACTTTATTGATATCCCATAATTATCTTACCTTTTTCAAAATCTTTGCATATTTAATTTTTTCTTATTCGTAATATTGACACAGGGTCATAAAAATTATTTACAATTTCAAAAAATAAATAAAGTTAATAACCCGTCGGATCGACCTGGACCCGATGACATTAGGTCATGAACATGTAGTTCTCAATCCGAATCCGAACTTACCCAAATCTGAAGTTACCCGAAGCCAAAGTGGCCGAACCCAAACACGACTTAATAACTTTTTAGCTAGCTTTCGAATTTCTAAGAGACTTTGATTTTTTTGATGATATTAAATAAAACTAAAACATAAGTCATTTTCCAACGTAGAACTTAAATTTTTTATTCCCTAAATAGGACTTAATAATGTCTAGTGTGTGGAATAACGTTCGGTGATGGTGGACATTTACTTGAATAATGACTAATAGATAATGATCAATAGTCTTACATTGGGAAATAAAAAACTTATGGTCATACATTGGGAAAGTTGTTAGGTTTTAATCTTATTTAGGTAAATTCTCTTTTTTTGATTCATCAAAGAACCCAAATAAAAATTTAAAAAAAATTAAAAATTAAAATTTTAAATTTTAAAATTTAAAATGTAAAACTACAAATATAAAAACAAAATTAAAAAATTAAAATTAAAATCTAAAATTTGAAATTTAAAATTAAAAATTTAAATAATTGAAATTAAAAATATAAAATTAAAAATAAAAATTAGAAATTTAAAACTAAAAAAAAGATACTAAAATTTTTAATTTGAAATTTTAGATTGAATACTTAAAAAAATTTAAAACTATAATTAAGAATTAAATATTTGAAATTTGAAATTTGAAATCTAAAATTAAAAAGTAAAATTTAAAATTTAAGATTAAAATTTTATAATTTAAAATTTTAAGTTTAAAAAGTATAAATTCTAATTTAAATTTCTATTAAAAATAACAGAGAGGATATAAAAAATTCAATATTTATAACCTAAAACTTAAAATTTAANAATTTAAGATTAAAATTTTATAATTTAAAAAAAATTAAAAATTAAAATTTTAAATTTTAAAATTTAAAATGTAAAACTACAAATATAAAAACAAAATTAAAAAATTAAAATTAAAATCTAAAATTTGAAATTTAAAATTAAAAATTTAAATAATTGAAATTAAAAATATAAAATTAAAAATAAAAATTAGAAATTTAAAACTAAAAAAAAGATACTAAAATTTTTAATTTGAAATTTTAGATTGAATACTTAAAAAAATTTAAAACTATAATTAAGAATTAAATATTTGAAATTTGAAATTTGAAATCTAAAATTAAAAAGTAAAATTTAAAATTTAAGATTAAAATTTTATAATTTAAAATTTTAAGTTTAAAAAGTATAAATTCTAATTTAAATTTCTATTAAAAATAACAGAGAGGATATAAAAAATTCAATATTTATAACCTAAAACTTAAAATTTAAAAGTTAAAACTAAAAATTTAAAAATTAAAATAAAAAATTTAACTTAAAAGTATTAACTAAAAATTTAAAAATTAAAAATAAAAAATTTAAAAATAAATATCAAAAATTAAATCTAAAAATAAATATTTAAAGTTTAAAATATAAAATGAAAAATATCAATTTTGATTTTTAAAAGTTAAAATTAAAATTTTAAAATTCAAAAATTAGGATTTAATTGTTAAATCTTAAAATTTTAAAATTAAAAATTCTGGCAAACATCATGTTGGTGAAAACCTAGCTAAACTCATTAGTCATTCTGAAGAGCTGAGATCAATAACCAACGATCAACTAGTGAAAGTTCAAAATAAAATTCTATTAACTTCCTATATACCACATTGTATAACAAAACAAAGGATTTGAAACTATAATACAATCATATATCAATTTCTTAATTATACCAAACAAATAATTTGGAATTAAAATAGAACTCAATTCCGTCCAATTTAATTCTATTGAATTTTATTTGCAATTTCGTGTACCAAATGGATCGAATTGAAACTTAAGGGTTCTTTTGATACATGAAATTGACAGAATTGAAATTGAATCGGAAGTTGGATTTCTATGAAATTGATTTGGATGGAATTAAATTCTCCAATTCCAATTCATTTTTTGCACTACCAATTTCAAATCAACATATTTTTGTGCTAACAAACTGTAAAATTGAAATTGTTGTTCTTAATTTTAATTCTATAGTTTAAATTTCATATACTAAACAAAGTCTAACATTATGTTTGGTTCAAGAAATTTGAGAATTAAAAGAAAAGAAAAACTTTTTTTTATTTTATTAGATAGGAAAAGAAAAGAAAAGTAAAAGGAAAAGAAAATAAGAAGGCAAAATATACTAATAGGAGGAAAAAAAATTCATTCTATTTTGGTGTGAATAGTCAATAGTGGAAGAAAATCATTTTCTTATTTTTTCCTTCCATATTCCTTCAACCAAACATATTGTAAATGTTTTCATATATTTGAATCATATTTTAGTTGTTTTCAATATTATATTCATTGAACCAAAAAATCATGTTTATAGTTTCCAATTTGTTAAGCCCTATTTGGCATCATCGTTTAACTTTAAAGGTTTTGAAAAAAATCATCTAACGGTACCTTTTAACGTTACCTATACTATCTTTAGAAATAATCTATACTGTTAAAATTTTATCCAAAATTCCTTTAATCTAATTTAAGGAAAAATCACGTTTACAATTTCCAATGTCTTGGTCTAATGATTCCACTTAAATCGAAACTAATAAGTTTGGGAGCAATAATAACATTTCTGCAAATGATGTCAAGCAAAGCTGGCAATAAAAAAAAATAATGGGAGAGAGAGAGAGAGATTAATCAGATTACTGTCTAGCAGGAAGCAGGCCAGAGGCATGGGCATAACCGTTGAAGTTAGCCGAGTAAACGGCGTCGGAGACGGCGGTTTCAGCTTGGGCCGTCGTACGGAAGGAAGGAAAAGGAGACGGGTCGCCGTGGCCGAGAGGGATTACAGGTCTCGGGTCAACCGGGTCGAGATTTTTCATCAGGGAACCGAGAATTCCTCTGACGCTGATTGAAGAGGCCGATAAAACCTCCTCGTTCCGTCGGAACCCCCACCTCCGCCGTGAACCGCCGCCATTTTCCATCGCCGGCGGCCTTCTCACTGATGTGTGCATGGGAAGGACCGAGGGGCACAGTATATATATTTATTCTTTAATTAATACTACTTCCGTGAGATTGCTTAAAATTTGTTCTAATGTATTATGAGGGTACATTTCTAGGGTTTGGCTATTATGTTTAATAATTTTGTTATTTTGATAAATACTATTCCGGGATAAATTTTATTTTTATAATCATTATTTTATTAAATCTAAAAAAATATACTTTTTTCATCCCTAAATATATGCCACACTTGTATTTCCGAGGCAAAATATCAACTTTTTTCAATTCACTTTATTTACATACTGGTAAAGAAATAAAAAATAAAATTTACATATCAAGACTACATGAAAAGTTATTCGAAATAAGAGACGTGAAAAAATTTTTATTTTATCAAATAACCAATGAAAACGTAGAAATAAAAAAAAGTTGCCGCGACTGTTGAAAAAGCAAACGTTGCAAATAATTTGAGAAGGAGGGAGTACTTAATTTGCTTAAACCCTTGTTTGGTATATATGGAATTCAAACTATGGAATTGGAATTAGGGACTTTAATTTCAATTCTGTTGTTTGGTAACACAAAAATTATGTGGATTGGGAATTGATAGTACAAAAAATGAATTGAAATTGACAGAATTCAATTCTATGGAATTAAATCTTACTCCCTCCGTCCCTGAGTGTTTGTCCAATTTCATTTTTGCACACCATCCAATGCACTTCTTTAATCCACTTTATCTTGTAATTTGTATATTAAAAAATTATAAAAATTATATATTAATAATCTATATGTTAAGACGAATCAAACAAGATCACACATGACTATTTTTAGGCTTACACATTAAGAGAATTTGATGAGTCAAAATGCTTAGATGAACAGTTCCAAAAGTCAAAAGTGGACAAACACTCAGGGACGGACCAAGTATGAAATTTAATTTCCAATTCAATTCCAATTCCACCAATTTCTTATACCAAACGGACCCTAAGAAATTTTCAATTCAACACTGAAATTGATACAACAAATTCTCAAAGTATAATACTCTCTCCGTCCCAGAAAGAATGTCACGGTTACTATTCTGGCTTCTCAATAACTTTTGTTTGTTCACTCGTTTTGGTTGGCCATTTGATAAAATAAAATAAAATATTCTTGTTGCATCTGGTTTGTAGAACTTTTCATATTCTTTTGAATAATTAATTTTTACTTTTTATTATTCTACCAATTTGAAAATATAACAATTTTAAAAGAGATGATATTTTGCACGTTGTTCGAAATATTGTACTCCCTCCGTCCCCCGTAAATCTTCCCAATAGCCTTTTTTATTTGTCCCCAATAGATCTTCTCATTACTTTTTTAACATTTAAAATACTACAACTACCCCTACTTATTTTATTTATTACACTTCATCTACCTCAATTAATATACTTCACCCATTTTTATTAAGGGTATTATGATAAATTTTCACATTTTTCAACTCTTCTTAAAAATCACAAAAATTAAATAAGTATCAGTGTCACTGGGAATGTGACGGGAGAGGTAGTACGTACTGTCAGAGTGTCAGTTATTTTTGTCGTGGGATGTGACATCCCATATGACAAATTGTAATCGTCCGTTCCAATTTGGGATGGTGCGTCCTCACATTTCATGAAGGACTCGCAACATATATTTAGATTTTAGGTTTGTTCTTTTTTTAGTAGAAAGTTTAATTTTAAAACTCTTTAATTCCATTTAATATTTTTTAACTATCACTTTTCTTTTTAATTCTTTTCAATTTTATCTAATTCATTTCAATTTCTCTTTATTCCTTCTATACTTTTTTACCAACTTCTTCAAATAATGACTTTTAAAAATGTGCGTATTTTTATACTTCCTCCGTCTCATAAAGATGGGTACATTTTAATTAAGGTAGAAATTAAGGGAGAAATAATTTTGCATTGACTTTCCAAAAATATCCTTGATGTGATGGGTAAAAGTATGATGTGATGTATAAATTATTAGAAAAAAGGTATGATGTGATAGGTAGGGTTTGAAAAAGTAAGGGGTAAAAGTGATTTTTTAATATAAATGGTAAGGGATTGTGGGACGCAACTTTTTTGAAGCGTGTAAATCTTTTTGGGATGGATGGAGTATTATTTTCATTTAATTTATTATTATTATTATCATTTTAAATACTATTTCTACTTTTATAACTATTGTTGTTGTCATTACTGATGGGTAATAACCCATGGATCCCACCCGATAGGTTCGTACAGACCGAGAGGTATCAAATCCAACGCCCTTTGACTTGGTCGACCCGGGTAGTCTGACCGGTCAGGGATGAGAAGATTCGGAATCACGGACATGGCTTCATCTGACGAAGGCATGCATGCTGACCGGTTTGGGGCTGACCGGCAGGAAGAACAGAGACGTGCTTGACGTGCTTAGTCATTATTATAAATAGAACTAAAAGACTCATTTGTGAGGCAGGCTTTAATTAATCCATTTGGCTTATATTTTGTAAACAGTCCTACTATCATTAATAACAAACCGGATTACAGGTGTTCCCACCTACAACCCTTCCGCTTATTTGTATTTTATATTCACACGGTATGTACACCATCAAATTGGCCCCACCGTGGGACCTCTTTACAAAAAGCCATGACAAACAACCACGAAGCTGTTATTTCGTAGATCTCCACCCCGGCTGAGAACGTTACGTTGCTCCCGGGAGGAAATACCCTGCCCCCGCCCACTACACCAATCCCTACTCCTATAATCACCATCCCGACACCTACCCCATTCACTTCCCCAATAACTTTTGTCCCTGTTTTTTCTCTGAACTTCCCTGGGCTCATTGACCCTACATATTCTCAGACGCTTCAAAGCTTTGGACAGTTTATGTTCATGCTTCAACAACCGGGAGGATTTTCCACCTTCATTCCCAGGCTGTATCCGCAAACCTTGCCCCAGAGTTCTCCTTTTCCGAACATAATTGGGCTTCCCCCACCATTCCAACCGACCAGCATTATCCAGCCGATCATTTCGACCAATCTGGTCGGGGAAATGAATAAAGCCGGCCCGTCCCGGTCTAGAAGAAGTCGATCTCGAAGGTCACAGAACCAAATAACACCAGACGGGGACGTGCATTCGGTTGATAGCAAAGACGAGGATTGGGATGTACCCCAGGCCCTGAAGAAGTTGAAAGGCAAGGCGGTCCAGCCGGAAGGATCCAGACGGTCAGCGTTCCAAAGATTGGGACACGAAGGAATGAATCAGAACTGACCAGCCAAGGAACGGTTGGGGGTGGAAACAATTCCAGTGAGCGCATTTGACCGGCGAGGGAGAGGCGGCGGGCGACCTCGTCGAACTAGGCAGACCGAACCTCGCCCTCAGGATGAGCCCCAGCACAGCCGGGCACCTCACGAGGAAGAGGAAGCAGAAAGTCATCCCAGGCACACGGTCCGGACGCATGTTGAACAACCCGGGGACCATGTGGGTCGGGTAGAAGCCCGACTGTAGAAATTACAAAGGCGAGTAGATCGGGATGAGAAGAAGAAGGTTTTGTTGAATGGATCTCCATTCACTGACCGGGTGCATGAGACCCTGTTTCCAAAGAAGGCTAAACTTGATGTCCCAAAATTCACCAGCAAGGAGGATCCGGAGATCCATATCAAAACCCTCCACCAAAGTGGGGAATATGAGGGGACTCACCGGGGAGGAAAAATGTTTGCTTTTCTTCCAAACCTTCCGCGGCCGAGCCGCCGAGTGGTTTCACAGCCTCCCATCTAGTGAGATTGATTCCTTTGATGAGCTAGCAGAGGTGTTTTAGGAAAGTTCAAAGAAATGTACCAAGAGGAAGAAGTTTACCTACTTGAGTACGGCTAGGCAGAGGGAACATGAGGATCTGACCAACTTCCTTACCCGGTGGAAAGATGAAGTGGACAAGGTTGAGGAGATGGACGACAAAACCGCAATGTCCCTCCTTGTCTCCGGGCTCCGTTCTAGGGAGTTGTACAAAGAATTCTGTAGAAGGCCTCCTCAATCCTACCAGGAGGCCTACAACACGGCCTGGGATTATGCGGATGCTAAAGCTCAGGTCTCTTCCAAGAGGGAAGCCGAGCAAGGTTCCAGAGAGGAAGGAATGCAGTGAAGAAGGAAATTGAACTACCCGGCAGGGTAAAGGCAGAGGTATTGGAGGTAAAACCAGAGAAGATGGAGAAGAAACCAACCGGGGAGAAACAGAGGACAGAAAAATACTGCTCTTTCCACAAAACTGACACCCATAACACGACCGAATGCAAAAGTGTTAAGGGGGTAATAAAGCAGATGATTGAGGCCGGGGAACTAGGCCAGAAGTACTTTGCTCAGGCCCAGCAGAAGAAGAGCCAGTGGGTCGGTCCTGAAGGACAACAGGCCGATCAGAACAAGAAGAAGCTAAGAAAGCAGAAATGGGGGTGTGAACTCTATGTGGGTTCAGTTACCTTTGACCCCTGGCGGAAGGGGGGTCTATAATAATGAGTCAAAAAGTAAAGAGTATAACTTTAAATATGGTTTGAAAGAAAAATAGTATAATGGAGAATACATGTAAAAATTAACGAAACGGTTCTTTCGACCTTAGGTTCTCGAGTCATATTATGACCCGAGATCCCTACGGAGCTCCGTTCGAAAAATAGATTGTTCTTACCCCCTAGCTCCTCCCCTAAACCCTACTTCCTGGCCTCTACCTGCCCACCCCACCACAGCACCCTCCTGCCCCCATTCGCCGATTCCCCCTCCCCCCCCCCCATTCGCTGATTGGCTACAGTAGGGGGGTGTTGGGGTGGGGTGGGCAGGTAGGGGGTAGGATTTAGGATGGGTAAAAGCCATCAATTTTACGAATGGATCACCGTAGGGGTCCGAGTCATAATATGACCCGGGGTTCCAATGTCAAAAGATCTCCGCCGAAAAATAAACAAAGATAATTAAGATTAATAACATATAAATTATTTTAATAAAACTTCAAAATTTCAAATGTATAATATTCCTTTCAATAGTTTTTTTCATTTTTTCCAACATTTTTTTTAAATTTCTTTTAGGTTTTTCTAAGTCCTAGTTTCTTGCAATTCCTTCTAATTTTTTTCAACACCCAATTATGAAATTTCAACCAAACAAATAGGCAATTACTATCGAAAGAGAAGAGTAGCAAGGTAAAGAATCTAAACTATTTCTTTTACATCAAGTTTACAATCCGGAATTAAAGTCCTCATTTTACTTCAGATATATAATAGAAAATTATTCATAAGTGACGCGAGTTTTGTTGAAATAACTCTCAGATTTTTCTAATTTTAAAAACACAGCGAAAGTCTTTACAATTTTGTTGTAATAATTGAAAGGGGATATTCCATCAAATATTTCATCCAAAAGCGTTAAAAATTATATTTTTTCCTTAATGGTCTATGGTAATAGGTTGCTCCTTTTTTTATTTCTTTGTTTTTATTTTTTTTCTTACTCTTTTTTAAAATGTTTTTAAAATTTCTTCTATAAAATCATATAAAAATTCAAAATTATTTGTACAATATAAAAGTAAATGAAATAAAAAAATTCTTTAAAAAGAAAAGACCGAGTAAAATAAAAAAAAATTGAAAAACAAGCAAAAAAAATTCCCTAGAAAGTCCTCAAGATTTTTTTTAATACTTTGTACGGAATATGAAAAATAAAAAAGAGATCTAATTTTCTTTTTTTGATAAGGTCGTTATTTCATTTATTTTTATATCATGAAAAAAAATTAAAATTTTGAGACTATATTCTATAAGAAACTTTAATAAAAATATTTATGAAAAATGAAACTAAGTGAAAAAATATTTGAAGAATATTTTAATCTAGAGGAGCATTAGTGTAACAATATCAAAACCATGAGGACAACAACGTAAGGAGTAACGGTGCATATACACCAAACCACAAGGGGTATTAATGCAATAAATTCAAAATACCTCAGAAAAGATTTAAAGATTATTAGTGAATAAATATAAAGTGGTAGATACAATAAGAACTAGTAAGCGTTAAAGTAATTTTTTAATAGAAATTAGAAAGGAATTTTGGAAAAGACAAAAAATCTTTTATTGACAAAGGGAGTAGTAGTTCATCTATTATTTATTAAATAAAATGATAATTATATACGGAGCACAATAATAGTTGTAATTATTTTTTAAGATTGTTTTTGTAAGACATAGTACACAACTTGCAGTAATCCAAATAGTTTTGCACATTATTTTCTTTCATTAAGAATTATGTAACTTGTAAATGTGCATAAATTGTATTTGTAACTCGTAGTAGTTATGTTTCACCTTTTTTGGAGGATTTTTTAAAATAATATCGAGTAGGATTTTAATTATTTTTTCTTTTGCATCAGTGATTTTTTCTCTTATCTAAATCATTCTTTCACATTAGTAGAGAAAAAAATGTAAACCATGTAAATTAAATATTTTTCTAGTGCAAAATGAATATCGTAGACTCGTAGTCTCCAATCATTTTTGTTACTCTTATTATTTTAATATATATAATGCATTGTCCAATTATTTTTGTTTGGTCAAGACATCATTAAATTATTTATGTTCATTTCTATAATTAAGATTCATAAAAAATATTACTCCATCCGCCCCCTTATTTTTGTTACATGGATTAGTAACATTAGAAACAAAAAATGAATGATCACATTGATTTTTTTTAAAAAAAGAGTGTGAATTACACAAATATTACTATGATTTGAGACAAACACATATTAACATAGAAAAAAAATATAAAAGTTAAAAGAAATTTAAAAAATGGTACTAAATTATTTAAATAAAATATGTTCTTCATATATAATAATTATATATTGAGTAAATTCCATAAAAGGTCCCCAGTTATAGATCTTTTTAAATATTTAGTTCCTATATATCAAATATTACTAATTTAGTCTCCAATTATTGGATTAGTTCCCACGAATGATTCTTTGTTAACATTTTCGTTAAGAACATGGATAAAATTGTAAATTCACACCTCTTTCTCTCCTCAATTAACCTTCCTCCCTCCCCTCGCACTTCTTTCTCAAACCCGTCGCTGAGTGAAGTTTTGAACTCAAAACCAAAATCATCACTCTTCTCTCAATTGTTTGTCGAACTGGTGGAAACCAAATTCGAAACCAGTAACCTTCATGGATGAGTTTTAATGTTTATTTTCTTTGCAGTTTCTTGAGACTAACCGATAAAACTCATCTATAAAGCGTATTGGTTTTGATTTTAGGTTCCACCAAGAAGACTAATAATTGAGAGAGAAGTGATCATTTCAGTTTTGGGTTTAGAACTTCAAACTCAAGGACGAGTTTGGGAAAGAGTACGAAAAGATAGAGGAAGCTTAATTGAGGAGAGAGAGAAGTATGTAAAACAGCCTATAACTGAGAACCTTTTATGGAATTTACTCTTATATATTTAACCAATTTTCAATTTTCTATTTTTTTCCCATTTCTTCCAACTCCTACCCATTTTTTCCAACTATTTTCAATTTTCCAACTTATTCTAATTTTTTCAAACTTCTAATTTCTTCTAACTTTTCCAACTCCTTACACTGTCGAATTCTATCTAGTTTTCCAATTTTTTCCAGTTTAACTCCTAGGTTCTTTCAACTCTTTTCAATTTTTCTAACATCTAACTCTATTTTTACAACTCCAATATAAACCATGTAAATTACTTTTTAGTGCAAAATTGATACTTCTTCAATCCCAATTTATAGTTCACAGCGTCAAATTTCATTCACTTTCTTTCTCTGTTTTTGTTAGCAATTTAATTAAATAAAGTACTATTCTCACTATTAGTTTTGTAAATCTTTTGATGTAGAATTTTAATATGTAATTTTTATTTTTTAACTCTTTACCATTTATCATATAAAATAATTTGAAAATAATATTAGTCAGACATCGTAAACAAAAACATGCACTATAAATTAGGACGGAGGGAGTATCATAAACTTGTAGTCTCGAAACATTTTTCTTATTCTTATTATTTTAATATATATAATGCAATGTACAATTATTTTTTTTGGTCGAGACATCATTAAATTATTTATTTCCATTTCTATAATTAAGATTCATAAAAAATATTGCTTCATTCGCGCCATTTTTATTGTTACAAGGATTAGTAGCATTAGAAACAAAAAATGAATGATCATATTGGTTTTAAAAAATAAAAAAAGAGTGTGAGTTACACAAATATTACTATGGTTTGAGATAAAAACATATCAACATAGAAAAAAAAGATGAAAAAAATTAAAAAATAGTACTAAATTATTTAAATAAAAATGTTATTCATTAAATATAATAATTATTTAACCAATTTTCTATTTTTTTAATTTCTTCCAATTTCTTCTAACTCCTACCCGTTTTTTCCAAGTCTTTGCAATTTTTCCAATTTATTTTAATTTTTTCCAACTTCTAATTTCTTCTGACTCTTCCAATCATGCTTATAATCTATTTTGATGACTCTTTAACCTTTAATTCATGTAAGCCTGGAAGATCCTAAATAATCTTTTTATTAAATAACTCTCCAAATTTAAGTATTACCATGAACCCCACTCACTGCTTGTATAACAATCCTAGGAAAATATAGAAGTACCCACTGGTTCAAACCTATTACTTTTTCAAAACAGAAACTGGTCCTTTTGTCAAAACTTTGAATGTACATTTAACTGCAAAGCTACAAGCCAGCAACCAGATTTGGTTATAAAAGAAGAAACTGTCTTTTCCAATAAACCGTGTTTTGAGACTCAGATTTGGTTGATCTTTTGCCTTTGAAACCCCATGTCATAATCTGACTCGGGGCACCTATAGTGCTCCGTTGGTAAAATCGAAAGTTCATATCCGCTAACCCCTCTCCCTCCTAAATCGCTATTTTGGGCTACCCAAATTTATGATTTAGAGGGGAAGGGGGTAGGAACCAGTAATTTTACCAATGGAGCACCGTAGATGTCTAGAGTCATAATATGACAGGATTTCAAGGTCAAAAGATGCATTATAATACGGAGTAGTACCAATTGCCACGTGTGGATACATTCAAACCCCAAAGGACAATGCTAGAGGTACACCAACATGGGGTATCCCATTTGCACACCAAGCCAACACAGACACAAAATATCTGTGCTGCATAAACATTTTGTGTCTGTGTGTCTCTCTGTTGGCTTGGTGTACCCCTAGGTTAATTCAAACCCAAAGGGTCGAGTTCACTAGGAATTAGAGGATAAAGCTACCAAGACGAGAACTTGAACAACTTGACACTTTACACATAATATAAATATAATACGAGTATTGATGGATATCCAGGCCCAGAGAACGTGAATGAACGGCCCAATCGCAAGAGAGATCAAGGGAAATATGGTGAACCACCACGATTGGTGTGCAAACGATAATAGCGAGAATTATGTGCACGATGAGTGCCCATTATGCATGTAATTGTAGGTAATATGAGTAGGAGGGAGAACCCTCCATTGTAGGGCAAGTGAAAAATACTGAAAGTTATTAATAAAAATAGTCAGATTTATCAATTATCATTATAATCCGTTCTTCTCCGTTTTTGGGCTAGTTCCCGTCAAGGATAATACATACAACCTAAGAAATTACCTGGGGCAATAGAATTTATGAATCCAAACTTTTTTAAGACAGAACCTGTACGCCACGATCAATAAATTCAAGTCCTGAATAGATGAAAAACAGAAGGTACCAGTTCAACATTTAAGTTATGCTATGTTTGGTTCAGGGAATTAGGATGGAAAAGAAAAGAAAATTGTTGAGTTCCTTGAAGCAAACATAATGTAAATCCCCATTATACTAAAGTCGAGTTCTTTCGAAACAGTAAGGATAATCAAAGATCAAAAAAATCAAAATTGGAAGGACATAATCAAAATCTTGTTCCACACACCTTCTTGGACTGAGAATGTTACAACAAAATTGAGAGAAGAGCGAAAAGAACAAAATTAGACTTGCTTGAATTGCGAGTTAGGGTTTTCGATCGTACCTGGCGTTTGCAATCTGCGGCAAACGTTGATGACGACGACGAAATGCGTTTGGTAAGGAGAGCAAAGGACACGCCGATTGACGGCGAGGACGATGGTGAAGAAGCCGATTCAAACAACTCTCCGGTGCTACGGAACGGAAAGAACGAAGTACTGTGCTCCCTAGATAGGTTGTAAAAAGAACCAATAATTTTGATTCCATTCCTGATTAATATTCCAATTCAATTATTCGTATTCGAAAAAATGAATACGAATATAAATATTTATTAGATTTCGAAAGAAAATGAATACAAATACGAATATAAATATTTGTTGTTGTTATAGACATGCCATTTTTAGTAGTTGATTAATTTTGGAAAAAAAACTAAAGTAAAATTAAATATTGAAAATAAACAAAAATAGGAGTTATATATATTTTTATTCTCGAAATAAGAGTTAAAATGCTTTTACAGTGTTATTCTTATCATGTACATTACTAAAAAGTATTGTGAAATGTTCATATGCAGTGTCACATTACCACAGTGCAAACTCCATATTTTAAAGATAAAATATGAAGTTTATATTTTGGTAGTTTCTCCATATTTTACTCTTATTTGAGCTAAATTTTTTTACTAGTTTTTGAATCTATAAAACGTAATAAATAAAAATCGTATTTCATAAAAGAATACAAATACGAATATTTGAATTTAATATCAAATCGAATACAAATAGTAATATTTATTCGAATAAAAAATGAATATGAATATGAATAACTAGTATCACACCCGTAGATTGCACAGGTCATATTTAAGTTATTAAATTATATTAACATCATTTTTGAATGTTACAAATTAGTATATAATGGAATATAGAGATTTCATTTTTTTAAGTTACAAAAATTAAATGATTTATAATATTTGAAAGACTACTTTACAATTCGCATTACTCATATAAATTTGTAAAAATATTGTCTTCGTTGCATATTAGAATTTTAAAAAATTTATGATTTAATAAATAAAATAAAATATACGCCCTCATTCTCAAATTAAAAATTTTCATTTAATTATTTTTCAATTTTTTTTTGAAAATGTTACCAAAGAAAATGAAAAATAAAAAATGAAATAAATTACCATTTTTATTATAATTAAAAGTAAAATAAATAAAAAAATTAAATAACATATACTCACTCATTCTCTAATTAAAAATTCTAACTTATTTGTGTTTTAAAAGTAAAATAATTTTTTTAAGGACTTAAAAAATGAATAACAAAAAGATGAAAAAATACAAAGTTAAAAAAGATTGTTTTTTATATTTTTCTTTTTGTTACCTTTTACTTCGTGCATAATATTTTAATTTTCATTTGCTTTTGTAACGTTCTCCAAAAAAATTTTGTTTTCAAAAATATACACATTTGAAAAGTTTTAGTTTGAGATGGGGAGCATATATTTGATTTTATATATTTGTATAATATAGGAAAATAAAATAATGGAAATTCAAGATAGAGAAAAAGAAAGGGAACAAATGTCATTTTTACTTTAAAAATAGGTAAAGGGAGCTCGTGTGTTATATTAAAAAACTATGGAGAATTTACAAATTTCTTTTGAAATTAGAGAGAATTTTAACGTCTTTTTTTGTAAACCATAAGAGCACTAATTCTATAAGAGAAATCACCCTAAACAGAATTAAAACATAGAAAAAATATCAAAACATGAGTTCCATGTTTTTGTTCCTGAAGTATGAATTTGCACTGTGGTAATGTGACATTGTACATGTGCATAATACTATACTTTTCGATAATATACATGATTATGTTTGGTAATGTAAATGTATTTTAACTCTTATTTCGAGAATAAAAATATAGAATTTCTATTTTAATATATTTCATTGTTTGACTCTTATTTTTTTTCTTATTCCCATTATAATTCATAGACGAAAACTCTTTTTTTTATAACGAGTACATTAGCTTTAGTTCTAATTCGGAAGGAGGTATTGTGGGTCCACCTCACAAAAATGGTGGTGGCGCACATTTAGGAACGGTACAGTTGAGACTGGGGCAAAAGGGCTGCGATGAATAGTGGCAGTGTGTGGGAGCATTTGCCGCTTCTGGTGAGAGCCAACTCCAAAGAGTCGGTGGAATACATATTTCAAGCCCTATGGAGGACTCGCAAGACCGGACTCGACGCCGCCGACCGCCGGCTTTTCCAGGAAATGCTCAACCTCCCCGGCGGCGATTCCGATCTCGACCCTGTCTGTCCATCCCTTCTCTTTTCTTCTATTATCTGCACGCATCTCTACCATTTCCGTTCTGTTTCTATTTATTTCGGGGTGGATTTTGCGAAAAGAGATTATTTTCATAGAGAAAATGATCGAATGCAATGAATTATTACACTTTAGTTGTTTTCAAAGTTTATTTTTGAGACGGATGGAAAAATATGGTGTAAAGTTCATTTTGGGACGGAGGGAATACTAATTCTAGGTTTGATAAGCATTTTATAGGTTTTTTGGCTAAAGATTCAAGGTATAAGGCTAAGAAACTTGGTAAGATTGCAGAAGAATGTGAAGTAAGCTAAAAAAAAATCAATAGCATTCAATAACTATAGGGCTAAAATCCATCATTGGTCCTTCAAGTCCGCGAGCTGTGCACAATTCGTCCGTCAAGTTTCAAAAGTTCAGAAATAGTCCTTCAAGTATTCATAACCCTCCACATGTAGTCCTTCAAGTTTCAAAAGTCCATAAGTAGTCCTTCAAGTATTCACCAACTCTCCAAATGTAGTCCTTTTTACGGTACACGTTAAAAGCTAAACGAAGTACTAGCTCCATAAATATAACTTCTGGCCGTCCTCCGAGCAGCGCATCGGGTCTTTTCCTCTCATTATAAATGCAGGGGATAATTTTACTTTCAAAGGGGTTCAATTTGTATAGTAAAGAACACAACTTTGATTGGAATTGTGGAAACCTATTAATTTTCTATACGTAAAAAACGATCACATACGTATAGGTACAAGTACTTCGTATTATATATATGGAAGTAGTAATCCCTTTATCTTTTAACGTGTACCGTAAAAAGGATTGCGTTTCAAGGGTTGATGAATACTTGAATGACTACCTATGGAAGGATTGCATGTTGAGGGTTATTAAAATATTTGAAGGACTATTTATGGATTTTTAAAACTTCAAGGACCAATCGTGTACAGCTTATAAAGTTGAAGAACCAATCGTGGATTTTAGCCATATCTATAGCAACAATCATAACTCTGAATTATCTGATTTTCTTTGATTTTTTATATTGAGAAGTATGTGGTATGGGAGCACTTGGTGTACATTTGGGGTACACATTTGGTGTACCCCTAGCATTTTTCATCTGATTAATGCCATAGGTAGAGATTCTCCAGCTCAGGTTATTACTTGTGATCCTCTTTTAACAATTTTCTTGATGTTGCACCCAAGTAACAGACCTTCAACCGATGTCACCTGAACAACACGATTTCTGGTGTCACACAAGTTGTTAAAGGAGTGTGGTGTACACCTTATGCAATCGATGGCATCTGTTTATTTTTCTTTCAAAATGTTTCAAGTCCTTATTTGTGAGAAATCATTCCATATCAAATAAAGGGGGTGAAAAATATGAAGTCTGTAGAGCACTATTCAAAGCCCAAAAGTGGAAAAAGGAGAAGATTTGGTTCATGTTGCCCACAAATGAAGTCATATGAGATGTAATGCATGTTTGGCCAATCGGCTCTACCCAACGTTTGAATTTGGTCTCTTGCTCCCCGAAATTGTGCATGCTGTAGCTGTCTGAAAAATTGAAGCTTTTAACTGCTAAAGTTTTTTCTATAGGTTATATAGGTTTTTTGCTATTCTGAATAGGCGGATAATGGTCTGTATATGATTTTAAATCCATAGAGAGCAAGTGTTTAACTAGTGTAGTGTGTTTATTCTCCACTTATGCCATGACTCGGTAGATGTTTGTGGTGCTGCAGCTTTTGGTGTGCCTGCGCATTTTGATTCGAAGATGTGTATTCGAAGGTGTCAAGAAGGATGAGATTCAGATGTTGTTTCCGGACGGGGTCCTGCCTGAATTGCAGAGATTATTAACACTTCTGCTCCAAAAATTTCAAAAGGAGTGGCAAGAAGATGTTGCGAATGATCGGGTAAGATTTCAAAACTTGTTTTGCCTATAATGAAGGTCTATTTTTTCTGAGGAGGTATATCAATAATTTTTTGACTTCTTTGTGTAGCAGCAGGTAGTCTTACGCCAGGGGAATGACAATTCTGAAGCTTGAGACCCCCCCCCCCCTGTGGCTGTTTTTATATTGAAGGTATTGCAATCTCTCCAGCATTAGAGCCCGTTTGGTAAGGCTTGTTTGGCTTGCTGAATTTTCGAAAAGGAAAATGGTATAGTAACATCCATTTCAGTCAAATGCTAATGGGTTTTGCCTATTCTAATGATTCTTCTTATTATAAGTAGTAGAAATAGAGTCAGGCTACCAAACGGGCTCTAAAACTAACTACGGGTAGTAATTTAACACAGAGTCACCACAGGAACATTATCTCACCACATTTCTGCGTGTGAGACTTATTCACATCAATTAAAAATAAATAATAGTCTTCCTTAATATTACAGTGTTTGTCGATTATCTTGATAACCTTCTACTTTTGGTAACTTTTTGCCTTGGTTTCTCAAACGCACAAACAAAAAGGCATTTATAACTTGCAGCTTGAAAGTGATGCGGCCTCTTACTCTAACTAAAGGGATGTGAAGATTGAGTTGGGAAAAGAGTCCTACGATGCACGTTTTCAATTAACTCCTGGATGTGAGATTATTGTCCCCAAGGGAATGTAAGATTAGAGGGATATGACATTTTTATCCGAGTAATTATGAGATTTTTTAATTGATGCATCATAACTTCGGTTTAGCTTAATGCGATTACATTGCCAATCTAACCTTGCCGTATTGCTTTCGTTTTGTTAATATTTGAGATTATTCAAATTCCGAAGCTTATCCCATCTCAAGAACTGAACAATTTTCGGTAGCCTCGTATTTTCCTTACTATCCAAATTAATCTGATGTTCCGTATTTCGTAAGCCAAATGCTTTCTTAGATGTTTGGTTTGCATATTAGGATATTACTCATGTTACCAAATTGTCAAGGAGAACAGGCATGTTTGGCATTGTGATTGCGAAGCGTATATTGTTCATTGCTTTTTCAATTGCTATTTTGTGTGTCTGGAAATCGAGTTTATTGTTTCTCCAATTGCAATTTGTTGTTTATAGCTTCTCTAAACACCAACTTGAATATTACATGTAACAAACCAATTGAGTTAGTCTCACACCCAACATTTTGGCATAACTAGTGTGAAAAGGTGATTGAAATTTTTTTTGAATACATGGCATCATAATTTAGCATAGATCACTCAGAGATTTTTTGTAATCGAGGCAATAGCACTAAAAAATGTAAACAATCACTGTAGATTAGTGGTGTTTGGTTATGACAACCAAAGTTGAGTTCTTGGGTAAAATGACATAAAAGATAAAAACCATAGAATTAATTTAAAATGATTGATGACAAAAATGGAAAATATTTATTAAAATGCGATTGCAATACCAAACAGTCCTATTGTAAATAAGGCACCTATATGATGTCAAATAAAACTAGTCAAATAAGTACATTGAAATGGCTTGCCAAACACAGGCTCAATCTCACTGCGAGGGCTTTAACACTAGCTTGGGAAACTACATCCAAAATGTTTCAAACTGTGACACAAATTCAATGGTGAACCTTAGATTTAGGGTACACTTACAGGACTTGATAAGCAAATGCTTATTATGATAGTGATAAGAATTTTATGCATTTTATTTTTTAAGCAATTTTTTAAATGTGAAAGTCTACAATTTCTTCGGGTCATGCACCATAGAAGCACTCTTCAGACAATTTGTGTTTTTTTAAAGACAACATTTTCTTCGGGAGTTCGGGGTCTGTTGGGAACAATCTCTATTTCCCGTTAGTGGTAAGATTTGCGTATACTCACCAAAGACACTATCATTTTGTGATTTTTATAGAGTTTGTTGTTGTAAGATGAATGTCGTTTTTGGTTAGCCTTCTCACTTTCACAATTACATTCCACTAAACAATTATTATTACTATTACTACTACTATTATTATTATTATTATGTACAAATGGTACAATGTGCAACTCATGTATGTACTAATATAATCACAGATACGAGGACATGCTGGTGTACATCCTATGCATGTTCATGGCTTTGATCATGTTGGACTTAGCCGAATCGAGCAGCGGGTCGCTCCGGATTGCCCGTTCAAAGCAGAACTTCGCGTCCTCCCACTTGCCCTCGCCCACAAAGATGAGACCTAAGTTGTTGTATGCGGGTGCGTAACCAGGTCGCAGTTCAAGAGACTTTGTGATCATTGCCTTGGCAGATTCAAAATCCCTGAGTTGGCGATAGAGGATGCCGAGGTTGGAAAATATCGCGTGCGCTTGTTGAGGAGTCGCCAATGCCAAAGCCTGTTTATATGCCTCTTCTGCCCATGAAGGCTCAGCTGACAGATGCAGGGATATACCTGGGTTTTATTATACATGATGATGTCAGTTTATGTACGACGTGAAGATTAGTGGTGTTTGGTTTAAGCAACCGAAGTTGAGTACTTGGGTTAAATGACAAACAAGATTAAAACCATAGAATCAATTCAAAATGACGGATGACAAAGGAAAAACAGTAGGAAATGACGACAACAACAACACCAACCCAATAGGGTCCCACAAGAGTAGGGTATGGGGAGGGTACGTGTACGCAGACCTTGCCCTTACTCGAAAGTAGAGAGGCTGTTTCCAAGAGACCCCGTAGCTCAAGTAGCACAGATAATATAAGAGCACAGAAGGTATATAAAAGCAGCAGACACAGAGCATATAAAGCACACAACAAAGCAACATATCCGTGTACACCGAGTTTTGTTCTCTTATGTATTTTGATGCACATTTTGGAAAGATAGAGAGATGGTTACCGAGGTTTGACCAGGCGTAGGAGCTCTTGAGAGATGCAACTGCAGACTTGAGGTACTTCTGTGACATTTTAAACTGTTGGGTGCAGAGAAAATGAAGGCCAAGTTGGTGCCAATGAATGGCATCTTCAGGATCTTCTGCAGCTGCCTTTTCACATGAAATCAAAAATACGTAGAATGGAAGAGAGATGAACGCGTGAAAACATAGCATGGAAAAAAAGAAAAACAATACTAGTAGTATAATTTTTGGTTTCGTCTGGTTTTAGTTGCTTGAGAGTTGAGAGTGTGTTTTGCTGATTCACAATAATCTGCTTAATAAATATGGTAAATGGACAACGAATTCTATGCGTCCAAAAAGAAAAATTGGACAACTAATGGATATTTTCTAGGAAAATTCTGATTCTATTTTCCAATGATTGTTAACATTAATGGATATTTTCGAAGAAAATATTTTCTCCCAATTGAGGAAAATAATTTTCATTTGCTTTCAAAAGAAAATTACCCCTTTCCCTCCCACTCCACCCCACCCAATATCNCCCACCCCCAGTCCGCACCCACCCTAGACCCCTATCCCCACCCATCGCCACTCATCACTCGCCAACCGCCCATGAACCCTGCCCCCACCCTTTGTCACCCCAATGCTACTAAAATATTATTAAATTATCTCAAAGCATCTTTTTCAATATTTAATTTTCAGATTTTAACAATAGAAACTATTTTTTTTAAGAAAACATCTTCCGTTCTACCAAACCACGGAAAATAGGAACGGAAAATAATTTTCTAGGAAAATCATTTCTCATTGGGAAATATTCTTCTAGAAAAATATTTTCCCCATCCAAATACACCCTAAATTCAAAATTTTGAAGGAAACCGTTATCCACGTGATGCTGCAAAAGCCACATGTAACTGAGATTGGTAGATTGCTGCAATTCAACTTTTAAATCCCTACAATTCCTCCCAAGACACATGGGCCCCACTTATATATTCTTGCTTCGCACAAGTGCAAGTTCAAAGAAAACAAGAGCAATACTTAATTTTTTTCATTCTCCAATTGTACCCTTTCCCTTTTTCTTTATCACTTATAACTTATAAGGTTAAGGTTTGCTTTTTTTATTTCACACAATTCTCTTCTTTTTATCCTACAAAAGAGTACATAATACCTACCCTTTTCTCACCTTTTTTCTTTCTCCTCACACTATTCTCTCTTTCTTTATATACTATTTTTCTTGCTGACAAAACAAAGCTTAAATAAAATAATAAAATTGCAAGTTTACCTGTTTTAAACTAAAAATAGCACGTTCTTTTACTTCTGACAATTCATTATGATCAATGTCAAATCCAGCTGCAATTTCATGCTGGGCTTTGTGAGCCATTGCAAGACCAGCCCATGCAACTGGAGACTCTATCAGGCTTGAATCACTTTCTCTAAGTATTGAAGCCATTTCATTTCCGGCCCAAGATAATTGTTCACTGGGATTTTGAGACCTCTCAGCATCCCTGATTCGATGAACTCCAATGACAAATCTTGTAGCTAAACAATTTGGTTCCAGTTTCCCTGCCTGAAGACCAATAAAACAAAACAACCCCAGATTGTTCCCAGGGAGACAATCATGGGTCAGGAAACACAAAATTTGGGAACTAATCTAGTAATGAAATGAGAATCAAATACTTAAAAGCTTATTTATTTGATTTCTTTCTATGGAATTTTGGAGTATTTTCTACACATATAAGACTTAAGAGTAAAAGAAACTTAAAAAGATATTTAAGGGGCCAGTGTTGATATACCTTTTCAAAACATCTGTCTGAACTTCGGTGATCACCAGCCAAATAATATGCATTAGCAAGATTTGTCCATAGATGAGCCGCTTTGGGATCAGCATTGGTAGCTGCTAGCAAACACTCCTTGGCAACAGTGGCTGCGGCAATCTGGTCAGAGACCGCCACACAATTTCCGTTTGCTCCAGCACCTGCAAATGTCTTTTGTAACCTCTTATAAAGTTAAAACCTAAACACAAAAGAGCCATCATATCGTTCATACCTGCAACAACTGAGCCACATTTACACAGCATAAGAGCAGCAAAGTTGACCAAAGCACCAGGATGGTTTGGATCTTTCATAATTAAATCTTGGAAGCACTTTTCTGAAAGCTCTAAATCCCCACTGGAAAATGCAAAAGTAACAGCACATGGCTAGAAGGCCTTTACAAAAACACATTGTGAGACCATACTTATGGACTAAGCAAAGTAGATAAAAATATAAAATGACCAGATAAAATATGCAAGTGTTTAAAAGTGAGCACATTTTATTGAAAGCAAATTTTCATGAAGGAGAAATAAATAAGTGGCTGTTGTGAGTCCGTATAACAGAGATTATGTGGAGTTCTGCCTTTTCCTCACAATAATATTTCATCCATTGTTAGATGGACTACCCACCCCTGGAAAATATGTATGTGACTTTCTTCCACAAGAGGTGCCAGTGTGGGAGGTGTTATGCTGGGAGAGATGTGTTGCAGCCCTTTACTCGAAAATATTTACAGTGGTGTGCACTCTGCATAGTATTTCTCAGCCCCTTATCCAGCTCTAGAGAAAACTTTGTTTCCTCATCGCTGAGGAATGTCTTAAACTATCTTCCCCTGGGAAATGCCAGTGTAGAGGTGGATTGGGTGTGTGTGTGTGTGTGTGTTATGCTCCGTGAGATGTCTTGCAGCCTCTTTCTCGTTACTTTTTAGTATATATAATCAAAATTTCTGTAATGGTTGCCACTTTATCTTGTTCGTGGTTAGCAGGATTGGCATCAAGGTCCTGGCGGCTGGCGCTCATGTGCCTATGCATGGAAGTGCGTTGAAGCAAACCATAAGAATGGGGGTGGCACATGAGGGTGATGATCTCCTTTGCATTAACTTATGACACAACTCTAGGCACAGTGGCGTGGTTTGTTTTATACTTTTATCAAATGACCGATGATGTGCAAAAACAAAAAGGGAAACCTGTAATGTATTCACCATGAAAAAAGGGTAAATGAGGGAAGCTGGGGTTCCATCATACTTACAGAAAACCCTAAGGCTAAACTCTAAACACTTTATATATATATATATATATATATACACACACACACACATATATATATACACACATATATATATACATATATATATACACATATATACATATATATAATGTTGCTAGGATTTCTATATTTCAACACCAACTACACAAAGTACACATGCTAGGCACCCTTTACACTATGTTTGGTTCAAGAAATTTGAAAGGGAAAAGAAAAGAAACAACATCAACAACCCAGTTAGATCCCACGATAATAGGGTCTGGAAGGGAAGGTGTGTGTACGCAGACTTTGCTTGGTTAGAGATGAAATGGGATGGAAACCAAGTTCCTTTGTTTGGCTAGAGAGGAAAAGAAAAGTGGAAAGAAAAGTAAATGAGAAGACAAAATGTACTAAGAGGATGGAAAACCAAATTCCTTTCATTTTGGCGAGGAAAATGAGAGAGTAACGTTTTCTTTTTTTTTTCATTCTAAATTCCTTGAACCAAACATAGTGTTAACTGTTAACGTTAAGAATTGAGTTTCTGCATTTTTTGATAGGAGAAACCATGGGATTGCCTATCCATTGTTGGGTATTTGAAAATTCACTAAGCTAGCAGCTGTCTTGGCAGGTTCTATAAAGTGCTCAAAAAAATTGTATCGTGTCCCATGCTTTTCTTTTTTGCGTTTAATGGAGCTAAAAGAGTTACTATTCACAATGTTTTAGTTTCAGGCACATAATGGACAAAATAAAAAAATGGCACATTAAATTTCTGTGCTTCTTACTTTCTATAAAGTTTTCATGTAAGGTCAGTTTATACACAAATTTGTCTTCAGAATATTTTAGTGGTTGACTGTATCATGACCAACTCTATGCTCCAGCAAAAGAAATTTTCATTCCAGCATATTACGATGACTATATGCTCTAAATTCTGTCAAAACACCAACTATACTATAGCCGCAAATTATATACATTGCACTTTTTCTAATTTTACACAAGTATTTGTTGCTTTATCCCCCCCCCCCCACACACAGGATAGCTAGTGTATGCCTTACCTTTGAAGGTAGGTGAGTCCAAGATTTCCAAGGCAATCCAAGTTGTGAGGGGCAATTGCTAATAAAGCGGACAGAACTGATATAGCACTCTAGAGATAGGAAGAGAAAAACTAATTATCAGATAAAAAATGGGAAAATATTATTTAGAGCCTATGTAGCAGAATATAGACTATTAAAAATGAAAATAAATGGAACCTGCAAACGACCAGTTCTTAGAAGTTTTAAGCCTAGTATGTTCCAAATAGGTGCCTGTCTAACATCAGATTTCATGGAGTCCTTCAGCCTACCAAGAATCTCCTCCAGTTCCTTAGTTTCCAATTCCTTTCCAGAACCACAGTCATCTAAGGTTCCCAACAAGATACACTGCATGAATGTGATCAATTTGATTATGAAATAGCATAGCAATTACTAGGGTTGTTAATACTTAATTTTATAGACGGAGCTGGAAAAAAAACATTGAGTAGTTGTACCTCTGCGTGATGTATATGGATCAGATATAGTAACTCTGGCCTGTCTACTACTTCTTCAGGCCGAACTAAGATATCTGCTGCTTTCTCATATTCTAAAGTTGCCTATAAGAAGAACATAAGTACCACAGGAAGTATGGAACTAACGAAATTAAACTGATAGCAGGGTATGAGATACCTTTTGAGGCTGACCCATCCTTTGATACATTAAACCAAGTATAAAATGGGCATGAGCATTCTTAGGCATTTTGCGCACAACATGTATCAATCCCTAAAATGGTAGAATTTCAGTTATGCCAAAAAACACCATCTACGAAGGCTGACACTCATTGAAGTTTGAACATCAAGCAAACCAACTGAAACCCTAACCCCTATTCCAAAAGGCAATTCTAATTAGGAGCTTTGAACAACTATCCATTTGTGGTCTAGTATCAATTAGATATAAAATACAAACAGGTAGGAAAGATCAAGATATTTGGTAAAGGAATGGTTAGTAAGCAGATCATTTAGATTTCCATTAACAAGAGCAGTATAAGTGTTCAGCACATAGATGATTGTAAGTAACACTATATGGTTTACAAATATTTATAAATTATGCTTTCAATATTTTTGGTATCATACACTACAACGGCCAAATGCTGTTACACATAGTGATGGACATATACAACTTCCTGCCTATGTAGAAGGAATGGAATCCGGGAGATCAATCCAGGACATCATTCTACATTGGATTAGTTTAAAAGGAGGATTCTATAAATTGGTCTGACCTTCCGCTCTACACTCTTGCCACCAACCTATGCTATTGCTGCTCTAAAATGTTGCACTTCCCAAAACTTCATATGAAATAAGCAAGTGAATTTTAATTTTCCATTCCGATCTAGTCCATTGTTTCCTCGAAGCTAAAACACTGGCAACAATCACTCTTTTAGATCATTTAACAATGGGCAATAATAAAAGTATCATAGTGTCATACAAAATTAGATTTGTCTAAATGGACTGAACGAACTTTAAACATCATTTACTCTAATTTTGTATAGCATATTAATACAATGAATTAAAATTGTGAAAGTTTTCTATAAGATATATCTAATAAAATCATTTTATACTAATGTACATTAATGTTTTTATTTAATTGAAGTCCAAAGTTCGTCCAGATTGACACGAAAGGGTAAAATTGGACGAATACACTAGTACGGAGGTAGTATTAATTATTGCTTGCCTAATTTATGTTCTTGAAATAGGCTAAGGACCTTCATTTGAGAGGCTGTAAACAAATCTGATTAAGTATGATCCCATAGGTTGATTCTTGATTGATTATGTGATCTTTTTTTTTCTACAAAGGTAAGAAAATATGTCTATCACATACCCACCAGATATTAAAGTCTTACCTTAACAGCTGTGATTTTTAATGAGTAAAGCAGATTTAATGATCTGGAGTTAGGCTGAAAGTTTAGTTGCATGAGAATATAAGAGGGTTCAAATTAATCGGAGAGGACAGAATCCTATTTGATTTTTTTCAATTTGTTAAATGTTAGACTATTTCTCTTGTGCATGAAATGATCAAATAGAATTTACAATTAGTACTGTCTAGTTAAGTTTTGTTTACATTTCAAATTATATAAATGAAAGTTGACTTAAAATAGAATTGAAGAACACTGAAACACATGCTGGCTGACAAACTAAACCAGACAAATCAAACATTAAGATCAACCCAGATTAAGAAAATTATGTAAGCACATATCATAGACTTAATTTCCTGCACCATGAAAGCATAAAGAAATAAAAACACAAAGTCTGTATAATTTAAGCAAATATGTGGAGATAATAGAGAACACAAGGAGCAGAACACATCCTACATTTTTAAGGCTGCTAACTTTTTCGTCGCGTGATGAAGTTCCGAGACCGTTCTGTTCAACTTCAGCATCAGCTCCATTGCAATCAAGACTGTTGTCTACCTTACTAATTCTTGACCGACATTTCCCTAACTTCTTTTGTTTACCTTCTACATCCATCCCTTCCACATATTTGCTCGTCTTATGTTGGCTACTATCATCAGTGGCTATCCTAAAAACAAATTGGCCAAAAAAAGATATAAATGCGAGTACTCCACAGAAAGGAAAGAAAAATGCAGTCGTCTCTAATATTATGTACTGTTCATTCGATTTTAGGTTTACCGATGCAGAAATTGCTAAGCAGTAAATAAGAACAGAGGGGACCTTGGAGTTGTGTCGGAAGATAGAGTGGAGACGGCGGTGGGGAGACAATCAATGCCGTCGGCCTCAGGTGGTTCAATATTAAGGTCAGCCAAAATGGCGACTTTGGACGGCTGAGTTTGCAGCGATTGTGACCAAGAGGAGATGGAGGAGGAGGTATCGGTGCCGACGAATGACTCTAATTTCATTGGAGCCGGCCGGAAGTTCTCCGATGGTTCAGACATTTTCTTTCCTTTTACACTGGAGAAGAGCGCCGGAGACTAGCAAATCACCTTAGAGAAAAATGGGGAAAATGCTTTAATAAGCACACTAGCACACTAGCACCCTTACACGCATTCTTAAGCACCCTTAAGCACCCTAGCACACTAGCACACTTTCTTTTCTTGCTTTCTCTATGCATTCTTCACCCACCCTTTAATTTTAATTTTCTTGCTTTCCTACCGTATATTTATGTAGGGGATATGGTCGGTAGCCATGGTGGGGAGTTTTTAGCATTTTCCATTGCACAAAAGACCATGTTAGGATGCCACCACATGAGTACTACCATAGGTGCATCATGATAGCACTCATGTGGTAGCACCCTAACATTTCCCTTGCACAAATAAGAGAATTAGGCAAGAAAAGAAAAAGAGAAAGCAAGAAAAGAAAAAGAGAAATGTTTGAGGGTTTGGGTAACAGAGATACTCCTCCCTCACATTTTAATTATAATGTTTTATTTCAATTATTTTCAAATTAATTTATATGAAAATTTAGGTAGAATTTAAAACTAATTTTATATATTTAAAAATTAGAATAAATTTTTTATAAAATAAGCAATGACATTATTATATTATTTTATCAAATTAATAATAAAAATGAGAAAAGAAATTAATTAAAATTTAATTATATGAATAGTTAATAAATAATTTAAATTAGAACGGATAACAAAAAATTAGACTAAATTTCATACTCCGTGCACGGTTCTTTATAGAAGAGTTTCTATATTTAGTTTTTTTATTTTGTGATACTGAATTATATGTTATGGAGTATATTAAATTTTTGTAAAATATTTTATAATCAGTTCTTTAGAAATTATATGTAGAGAACATATTTGGTCATATTTGACCTAAATAAAGACTAATAATCGGATAATTTTTTTCTAATTGAGGACCACAAATATAATATCTTAGAATTAAGGATTATTAGAGGTTATTCTCTTCAACTTATTTTTATTATTTATTATTTATTCTTATTATAATTAGATGAGACCAAATTAGATCAAAAACTGCTTTAAATATAACCACAATCGGATCAGATAAGGCGGGATTATATTAAAACTTATTCTAATAATATCAGAATCAATCAAATCATGTTAAAAGAACAATCTCTAAATATAGAAGAGCACCTGTTATAAAGAATAGAAATCCCCCTAAATAGGACTAAAACATAGAAAAAATACTAAAATAAGACTTTCATTTTTTCTCCCGAAATAAGACTCGCATTGTGGTAATGTGACACTGTACATGTGCACATTACTATTTTGTCCTCTTTCTAACCGCTCTAACCGCACTATCTTCTCGAAATAAGACTCCAACTTCTAACCGCTCTATCTTTTTTTGTCGTTTACCCCATTTTTTCACCTCCATTTTCTTAACTTATTTTGTCATTTTTCTGATTTTTTTCATCAATCTTGTTAATGAAGCACATAGTGAGTATTCTGAGCCAAATATTATTGTTAGTGATGATAAAATTTAGGATGAGTTGAGGTTATTTGGATTGGGGGATATGATATTTGGGTTAAACCATATTAAAGATTGACTCTATTCGATTACTTAGTTCAACTCAAGAGGTTAGATACTGTTTTTTATTTCTCTTCAAATTCCGTTGTGCGATACTCTTTAAGACTCTCTCTAAAGTGGACAATATGGTCATTTTGAATCTAACCAGTTGGCCGTTTGCAAATGGACTCCCCCTTCCCAAGAAATGAATTGAAAGTACTAACACCTAAAAGACCATGAATCTTTGGGCATGAATTTTCAGACGAACAATCGAGTTACATAGGTCACATGCCATTTTTCCATACAGACAATTGAACTAAAGACAAACAGGTCACTATTGCTTTCAATAACTGTCCGACCGAGGAAGATGAACTCATCCTTTATAAACACTACTCATAGTACCTAAGTGGCATAGCTGACAAAGCGTGTGGGACCTCAAAATTTACCTAAAATGATTTTCATCACTACCCCCCTTTACCATTTTACTGCTCATTACAATACATCCAATCTTTTTTAGTTGTTCACCAAACAATCCCTAACCCCACACGCCAAGCACCAAACTCTGCAATCTCTTCTTCCTTCCCCTCACTTTTCTGCAGATCGATCCATGGCGGAGACCGATAATTCCGATGAATCCCAAGCTGAATACTCATCCGCGGTTCTTCTGCGAGTGATGAGCAAGAGAAGGACATGGGTTTTCCTCTTCCTCTTCGTCTACACCCTCCTCCTCTCCATTTCCTGGAACTTCCTCAAATCCGTCCTCTCCTGGTACGAATCCGCCATGTCCGGCGCCTCATCATCGGGGCCGGGGTGGCCGGCACTCTACGCCTCCGTCGTCTTGGGGGTGGCGTTCGGGGTTCTGTCCACGGTGGCGGCGCTCGCCGTCGTCGTCCCGGCCACTCTTGTCACGTGGATCACGGTCCTGGTTTTGCTTGCTTTCTGCGGGAAGCCCAGGAGAGCTCTGGTGACGGAGGGCAAGAAGCTGACCGCTGACATCACTCGGTTCGTCGTCAAGGTTTTGATCAAGGAGGGGAACATCGTCGCCGCCCTCTGCGCCCTCGTCGGATACTTCGCCCTTGTCCGCCGGTGTAGCGGCGGCGGCCCTGATTTTTAGTCTCTTGAGTCTTGACGGGTCCAATCCGAGGGGCGATTTGGTCCGTATTTGTTTAATTGTTTAATTTTCTTCTGTCGTTTTCGGACAGCTAACAGTACTTAGTTTTGGATGTACGGCGTACCATATCTGCGTGTAATATTCTGATCGTAATTTTTAACCCCTTTTATGTTTGTTTCTGCATTCTTTATACTTTTCTTTTTTTTGACTAATTTTATTTTTAATTCAATTTAACTAATTGTAGGTATAAAATTTACTCCGTATATAATAAAAAATAAATTAAGAGTTTTACAAAATAATGTGACAAAATTATACCCTCTTTGTCCAATAATAATCTTTTTATTTTGAATAATGTGCAAAATCTCACACAAAAAAATAAGTTACTTTGTTCAAAACAAAGTAAAAATTTTTTACAAACTAAGATGTAACAAGAAGATTTTATCTTATCAAATTATTGATTAAAATATGTTAATAAACATAACTTATAGAGAGCCCGTGATAGTAATTGGGAAATTAATTGTTGAACAAAGGAAGTATTATTTTATAAAATTAGTAGTAAAAATAAACAAGTTAAATAAACAGAGTTAAATTTGATACTATACATAATGTCTGAGAAAATATATGGAAGACGGAAGGAGCACATTTGATTTCTAGACTTGCACTCTCCATCAAGTTCTAATGTACTCCGTAACATGTATACTTTCTTCAACAAGTAGCGACTGATTGGTTAGTGTCTCAATGGTTTCGCTAGTTATTCCTTTACTCAACATCAAATTCCCATTGTCGTCTTAGTATATTCGCCTTAGGTTCATAGAAGATCCAAGCTCTCACATTCCCACAATGCCGAAAATGTGACATTCATGATTGATTCGATCAGATAGTTAACTAGGGAGCTACACGTTCATTAATTAAAAAAACCTCTCCATCTTGCATCCAACTCAAGATCGCATGAAGGAGAGCCTTAAGTATTGGAGGTGGTGATAAAAACAGGTCACTCCAATTTTCCAAAACTTTTAAAGGTAAATTTTTTTACTAGTCTACCTATCACATTGGGGTTCCACCACAAGAAATACTGATCTTTGGCTTGGACTTATGAATTTGAATAGATCACTTTACTTTACTCGTTTGGGCATACCCGCTTGAGTTAGAAGTTTTTAATGACGTCAGTACTAGTGATACCTATGAAAATGAAGTCGATGCTAGTGATACCCATGAAAATGAAGTTAAACTCTCAAACCCATTAATAATGATAATAAGTCCCTTTTATGATCAATCAAAAAGCCATAAACTTTTTTTTCTTTTTTCATAATTCACTTAATGTATAAATTTTTTAAATATACATTATACAATATAGGAACACATATACTATCTCTGTTTAAAATATTTGTCAGATTATGTAAAACAAAATAAAATTTCAAAAATAAGAGGTCTAATTCCAATTTGTTTCAATGTTAGGTTATGTGATAGGATAATGGTATTTGCACTCCAAGGATTTGTACCTCATTTTGTATATCACACGGACGGACCAACATTTTGTGTTGGTATAATACTAATTTTTCTTAACGCACAAATACTTTATGTCAGTGTAATTGTTTATCCATCAAAATGCTAGTGCATACTTTTAGTGTACAAATGAAGTAGAAATTTTGAAGTACAAATTTTGAAGTACATGTAACATCCTCATGCTCCTATGTGATATAAGGAGGGGAGGGGGGGGGTGAAGAAGTGATGATTGAATACACACCGCCCAATCATTTTACACCTTGGTTCCCATGACATTGGTTCCCAATGTTATGGGATGACCCGGGGGCACTCCGGTGCCTTGTTCGTAAAATTGACGGTTTCTACCCCCCCTAACCCCCCTGTATAACCCCCCCCCACCCCGCCCCAACGCGAATGCACCCCCCACCCCCTTCAATTGCGCCCCACAAGTTGATTTTGACTTTGAAGTCAAATTTGACTCCAAAGTCAAAATCAACTTGTAGGGTGCAATTGAAGGGGGTGGGGGGTGCGTTCGGGTCGGGGCGGGGTGGGGGGTTTACCGGAGGGATGAGGGGGGTAGGAACCGTCAATTTTACGAACGGGGCACCGGAGTACCCCCGGGTCATACCTTGCCCATCATTTTAATAGGTCTTGTGCAAATGTAATATTTTTCCCTTTTAGAATATTTGTCCAATATATTTTTACAAAACTAAGATTGACCTTCGACCTATATAGTTATATAAAAATGAGATAAAAGAATGTTTCAATAATATTTTATAAGACAAATCTAATAAATTTGTTCTTATATCAATATGTAATAGAGAGTATAGATTTTACTTTACATTAAACTAATGGTCAAAATTTAGCATAAAGATAAAATTAGATAAATATTGGTAGTAATATTTTTATTTCATTAATTACGAAGTACTCCATGTAATATACAAATTAATTATAACTTTAATTTTTGTTGATAGAATATGACGTACACATACAAATATATTCTTGTTACACCACTTTTAGGATTAGAATACTAAATTAAACAAAAAAACCAACTTTTTAGAACTAGTTAAAGATTCAAAAATAACAAAACAAATTAGTTTTTTAAAATAAACCTAAAATAAGAAACTAATGAATGAAACAAAATCAATTTTTAGAGTAGAAGAAAATTAAATCTGAAACAAAAATTAGAAATTTTAGTAAATTTTGAAACAAAATTTCCACCGAAACAAAAATTAGAAAAAATAAAAAACACATGACAAAAGTTGGAAAAATATGAAACAAACAACATAAAACAAGAAAATACTAAATTTACAAAGATTGAAGAGTTAAACATAGTCTTGGAGAAGTTGGGCTCGGATTGATCCGGACATATTAGGATTAACTGATACTATAAAAAAGAATCTATTCACACACGGTACAAAAATGAAACAAATGAGCTCCTTAAATTTGGGGGCCCTGTGCAAATGAACCAGCACAACATGGGTTTGGGCGGGTCTGATTGAATATAAATTGTATGATGTAGAGTGATAAAAAGCATGTTGTATAATGATGTGATTAGGAGTGATGAGTGTGAAGATATAAGTAAATTTTGATTGGTTAAGATATTTAAAAAAATCAAAAACAAAATCTCCCCCTCTATCACCTGGTGACCCTGGTCAGCCTGGTGGGGTTGCGCCCCAACAACTCGGTGTCACGCCCGCCATGTCACTGTTACTCGCATTGGTTACCACATGCCTTTATATGTAAAATAAAATCTTAAATTATTTGATGTAAACGAACGGTTTCAACCTCATCAAAACATGCACTCCAAAATGATATGGATTAGTCCTGGCTATAAAGTGTGGAGACCTAATACTTCTGTCATCCCTAAATAATTGTCACAGTTTGGTTTTTTGATTAAACTGTGGCATCATTTGACCGTAAATTACGCAAAAAGTATATTTAGTTATAATGTAAATTTAATAAACTTGTATTTATTTTAAAATATAATTTTGAAATATCAAATTTTTAAAACATTTAATTATTTTAAACTATATGACATGAAGAGAAAGGGAGTCTCTGCGGCGGCGGCTTGGATTTCGAATCTCAAACTGGAAACTGCCGGAGTCGTTAGCAGCGGCGCGGAGAGTCATCTCGACCTGCTGTGATAGAAGAGAAGTAGAAGTAGAGGGGGAGAAGGGGACGGCCGAGAGGAAAGAAGAGGAGAGGAGAGAGAGAATTAAGTTTAATTTTCTTTTTATTAGTACTATGATAGAGCACCTCTCATTATATAGAATAAAAATCCTCGTAAACTACGTTATCTATCTTGACGGTTCAAGAAAAGCGACGAGATAAAGAACCGTAAAGAAACCCTCAAAGGAGTGTTATAATCTCGGGCAGCGGCTTCGTGCATAGCGACCAAATCCGGTAACTCACTGTTCTCCCTTTTGACTTCAATTAAAACATTGGGCAGGGGCTGTGCATGCAACTTCAACAGCGCCCCTGGTGTGCTCTCGGCTTCATCGCGACGCGAAAGGGCATCGGCTACACGGCTTCCTGAGATAGTATTGTTGAAACACCAGATTGGTAACATTGTTGCTGCCCCGGCGGGACGTACCCCCGGCGTGGGAGTTGTAGTGGCATGCCCGAAAGTGCCTAGTGCACGTAAAGGCGGATTCGGAGTTGACGATAATGTCGTTGTTTGCCATGGCCGACGGGCCAACGCTGTGATGTCGGTGACGGCCTCGAAATGATTGGCTGCCAATTCACAGGCTAGGGCGAAAGCCTGTCCCAAAGTGTAAGGCCGTCGAAGAAGTACCTCGTGCTAGACACGGGCTTTTAGCCCGGCAATGAAGAAGGAGATTAAAGCAGCTTCGGAGACCCAAAAAACCTTGTTTAAAAGCCGCTCAAACTCCGTTTGATAATCCAACACTGTAGTCCGCTATTGTAATTTGCATAGGAGGCCCATATAGTCTTCATAATGTGTAGGATCAAAGCGTTGCTTAACGGCATCGAGAAAACCCCGCCAAGATGAGATAAGGTGGTTGTTACGTTGATAAAGAAACCAATTGGAAGCAAGACTCTCGAAAAGTAATCCGACGAGCCGTAGACGGAGATCCTCAGGTGTCTGGAAGTAATCAAAATAAGACCGTACTTTATAAATCCATCCTACAGGATTTTATCCGTTGAATTTCGAAGCCTCAAAACGTACCTTTGGCATGCCTGGATCGTGATAGTCATCATGGCCCGGAAATCCTTGTGGAACCGCAGGAGGACGGCGACCTACTGTTGGTGTGTTCCCCAAGAGGCCACGGTTGGGGGGTGTTGTAGGCGGCCAGCCGTCGAGCATGGTTGAAAAGCCTTGATCAACACGGTGTACTAAAGCCAGATGCTCCTGCTGAGTCGCCTAAATCTCAAACGGTAGATTTTGAATAGCCTGCACGGGGTCGTCGGGGGTTGGTGGGCCAGTGTTCGTTGCGGACGAAGAGGGGATATCGTCTGCCATGATGAGTCTAGAGGGATGAAAGCACCAATGATACACGAGAAGTAAAAGTAGAGGGGGAGAGTGGGACGACCGAGAGGGTGCAGCGCCGCGCGTCTGTTGCATGCGGCGAACAATTCGTCGAAGGAGACACATAAGGATGCTGGTGATGATAAGCAAGCTTACTATAATGAAGGCCGGTTTTAAATAAGAGCGAGCAGGGATTGGGATGTGTGGGTCAGGGAGATTGTTACTACCACCCATGTTCTTGCATTAGCGTGAGAAAAGTGGTGCTCCAATTAAGCTAGTTGTGAACTCTGAGCAAGAGATGAAGTGTGGCAGCAGCTAGTTGTGAAGTGAGCAAGAGAGAGGAAGTGTGGCAGTAGCTCGTTGAGCAGGGTGGTTTCCCAAGGATGGAAATTTTCTTGAATATAATTCCCAGTTGGAAAGGTAAAATCATGGCAAGGAAAATCGGACTACATAAAGCCGATTTTATTTTTGAATTTTTTTGGTTTTCGGATTTCTTAAAGACGTTTCTTTTTTTCCGGCTTTGTCAGTGTCGTTTCAGTGCTTCAGTGCACGGCCGTGATTGCACAACAGTGCACGATTCCCTCTCCTTCCTCGTCTCGGTTCTACACTCCAAAATCCCTCCCCATTCCCACATCTAATCCCTTCAACTACCACCCCTCCCAATTTTACTACAAATAATCAATTCTTTTTCTTCTTTTTACACAAAATACATAATCTCTTCAACTACATCTCATATTCTTTCCCTTCTTTTCTCACTAAATATTCAAAATTTATCTATTCTTCCATAATCATCCAAAAAGTTGAGGATAAAAAAATTTAAAACAAAATTTTGTTTGGATTATTAAAATTGGCTTTATGAAAGCCAAAAAATTTTTATTTATAATTTACTAAAATTGGCTTTATAAAAGCCGAATTACATTTTTCCCGATTAAAACGGCTTTGTGAAAGTCGTATTTTTAAAAAAAATTTTTTGTCAAAATTGGCTTAGAGAAGGCCGATTTTTCTGCTGAGGAATTCAATGCCCAGAATCTTCCCTCTGCGGGAATTAATTCAGTTGAGCAAGAGAGAAGAAGTGTGGCAGTAGCTAGTTGAGCAAGAGAGATGATGTAACACCCAACTCGAATAACCCAATTACCTAGATTATTTGAGCCGGAGTAGTTACCATGATGGTAAATACGCATGGTAATTTGAAGGATAATTTAAAACCAATTTAAACTTTAACATAAATAATAAATTTCAAATATTAAATTCAGAGTATTGCTGAAAAAGTACGGAAGCTTAAATATAAAACATAACCTAATTGTTTTACATTTTTCTGGGTTCTCGCCCGAAAAGGTATTTATTTAGTTAAAGCATCATAAATGTGGTCCACCAGTCCGTACATCTCGTCACTCTCATTGACCTCCGGGATGGGCTCCATGATCAGTATTGTTACCTGCGTGTAGCAAGTAAAACAAGCTACACGCTCAGCGTCAGCTGAGGAATACGCTAATACAACAATTCCAAGTTGAATAGCAAATAGACATACAATTATTCATGATGTGACATATATAGCATATATGTTCAAGATGATGGTAATGATACATAATTGATGCCATACGTAATCATAATGATTTGCACTTGATGATGATTTCATGCTGTATGATTCTAACGAGCAAGGACACCCTTGCGCTATGAGGTTCGCCCATTTGGTACGACGACCTCACGCGACCTTAGTCTCACAAGCACTACAAAAAACTGCTGAAATCGCGACGGAATTATTCCGTCGCTAAAGCTTGATTTCCGTAGGGAATCGGCCTAGCGACGGAAACAACGACGGTTTGTATTCCGTCGTTATTTTTTCGTTAATAATAAGTTTAACAACGGATTATTTAATCCGTCGCTAGGCTACGACGGAATTCGCGACGGAATGAGGCGACGGAATTAACGACGGAAAATTTCCGTCGCTAAGATTAACGACGGTTTTAGCTACCGTTTCTGCATTTTGACCATACAGCGACGGAAATGATATTCCATCGCCAAATCCGTCACCAATTTTACAGCATGAATACAGAAAGCTGCCATTTTTTCAATTTCACAGAACATCCATAGCAACCTACTCTAGCCCAGGAATCCACAGCATCAAACAACAACAAATACTAGAAATGAAGAATACCAAACAACCAAGAATATTCAAATCACCAAACTACAATTAAAATTCAAATAATATTTATAAAAATTCAACTTAACAATCAAATCTAACTCCACTTACATAACCATCAAACTTAAGTTTAATNTAATTAAAAACAAACTAATTCAGAAATTGAAATTGAATAAAAGATGAAAAAATGAAAAACAAAACCTGAGATTTCAAGTGGACGGTGACGGAAGATGGGTAGACGACCGGCGGTTGATGGTGGCGGACGGAGAAGATGATCGGACAGCGACCGGCGGATGATGGTGGCGGAAGGCGTCGCGGAGGAGACGAAACTACACAACAACTCTTTGTGGTTTCTGTCTGCGAAATCGGAGAAACTGAGAGGAGTTCCCATTTTTAGATCTGTTTTTGGCGACGGATTTAGCGACGGAATTTTTCCGTCGCCAGCTCAAAACGCATCGTTTCAATTATATTCTTTTACCGACGGAATTTTTCCGTCACCAAACTAACGACGGAATTTTTCCGTCGTCTAATATGCCGTGCACTACCTCCAGCCATATACGGAGTTACGGAATTCTGATTCCGTCGTAAAGTTTGGTAGGTGTAAAATTTCGTCGCTGAATCCATCGTCGTTAGCATCGAATTGCATTTCGTCGCTATAATCCGTCGTTTTTTCGCGTTTTCTTGTAGTGAAGGAAGACTAGAAAGTAGGGGTGGTACTCGAAACCTGAATACCATGTACGTACACTAAGCCCGGAACGGATGATGTCGGACTAGTAAGTCCCGCACATCACGCTATAAGAGACGCAATTACGCATGATCTCTTATGCATGCATATGATATGATATGCTACAATATGTGTGATGATATGAGTCATATGACATGAACAATTTGTAAACAATATGAATGGATAAATATACTTTATTTTATTTGGGTGAAATCTGATAAAAATATCATTTAATTAAGCTACGGGGCTCGTAATGGTCGACCGTTTGGCGCGACGGTCGACCTTGATCTCCTTCACGTCGAGATGCCGGATTACCGTGACGGTCGACCGCGGTTGACCGGCGGTCGACCATTGTTGACTAAGTGGCGACGCTTGTTCTTGGCTGGGCAGGCGACAGTCGATCGTTGGCCACCGGCGGTCGACCGTTTGTCTGACAGTCTTGCTCCGTTTCAATTTTTAACACAACGGTTGACCGTTTACGTCGACCGTTCGGGTCTACGGATCCTATTTTTGATATTTTTGGATATCTAAAATACTTCTTTGAGTTATTTTAACACTTATGATTAACATGTCTATTTTTTTGAAGTATTCTTAACACTTATATTTTCATTTAAAGTAAAGTATCAAGAAAAACATATTTTTACTTTATGAGTTTAATGAGTTTGATCTTAAAGCATAAATGACTTATAATATGGCAATCAATCCTAACGATATATCTAGATTGATATTCAACCAAGGATTGCGTTACTAAGGTGCAATGTACTCGCCTTGATAACGTTGAAGACGGAAGTGATAGGAATAAAGTATACGCCTCAACGAACGTTCAACGTACGGACACCTCTATCAACTTCAAGCTTCCAACGTCGGGTCTTCTATACAATACTCTCTGGGAGTTCTTAATAATCGTTATAGAATCGACGATAAGAGTTTTGAACGGAATGGAAAGAATATTGAAAAGAAAGTAGTCAAACCCGAGAGGCCCGTCGCCACCGACGCAGTCTCGGTATTTTGACCATATCTCCTTCGTTTCTCAACGAAATTGCAAACCGTTTGATGCGTTAGATTCGCGAGACACGAGGCTACAACTTTTGTTCAGAAATCAGACTGAAATAATGATGTTAAGATATATGAAAATGGCTCACAAGGTGACGGTTTGCTGCTGCCAGGATTTTGAAAAAACTTATGATGATTTCTTCTTCTTGTTTCACCAATGGAGTTGAAGTTCTTCTTCTTTTCTTTGCTTGAATGAATCTTCCAACAAGAGAGAATGATTGGAAAAGAAAATATGAGTTTTATGGTAAGCACTTTGAATGAAAGATATGGATATGATAAAGAAAACATAGCCAACCCGTGGAACTCGTCACCACTGACGTAGTCCCGGTATTTTGGCGATATCTCCTTCATTACTTAACGGAATCACGAACCGTTTGTTGGGTTGGATTCGTAACATCCGGGGCTACGATTTTGGTATAATAAATAATTCGAGAAAATGAATAGAGAATTACAGAATTTACAAAGAAGTTGATGCTGCGTTTTTCACTCAGGATTTTAGAAACTTTGATGTTTCTCCTTGCTCCTTCTTCTTCTTCTTGGCTCAACAATGGAGATGGAATCCTTTCTCCTCCTCCTTTGTGACTGACCGACAGAGAGAGAGTGTGAAGAGGGATTGAGAGTGTGGAGTTGACAAAGTGGAGAAGGAGTTAATATTTAATACACTCCACCTTTGGAGGTATTATGCTAGTGGATGAATTAGTGGGTGTAGGGTNGGCGATATCTCCTTCGTTACTTAACGGAATCACGAACCGTTTGTTGGGTTGGATTCGTAACATCCGGGGCTACGATTTTGGTATAATAAATAATTCGAGAAAATGAATAGAGAATTACAGAATTTACGAAGAAGTTGCTGCTGCGTTTTTCACTCAGGATTTTAGAAACTTTGATGTTTCTCCTTGCTCCTTCTTCTTCTTCTTGGCTCAACAATGGAGATGGAATCCTTTCTCCTCCTCCTTTGTGACTGACCGACAGAGAGAGAGTGTGAAGAGGGATTGAGAGTGTGGAGTTGACAAAGTGGAGAAGGAGTTAATATTTAATACACTCCACCTTTGGAGGTATTATGCTAGTGGATGAATTAGTGGGTGTAGGGTGGCTTGATTGAGGATTTGAGGAGATTGGGGCTGCGTGATTGAAGACTTTGGAGATTTAAAAATATTCTCCTACTCCGTAACCGATAAACTGGCTAAAACGGTACGCACTTTTTCGCCCAAACTGTTCCGTTTTGAAAATGGATCGCGTTTTTGGAATCAGACTGTCAAAACTAAAACTTTGATATAATTAAAATATTTTTCTGAAAACTTTTATTTTTCAGTGTTCGGGTCTGTCTCAGTTATTAATTAATATTTAAATTAATTAATTCTTTTAGGCCTAATTTCGGGGCGTTACAGAGGAAGTGTGGCAGTAGCTATTTGATCAAGAGAGAGAAAGTGCTGTATTCATGCAACAATGAAGTAAGTGCTGTATTTTTGCAATAGTGATGAAGTAAGGTTGATAAATTGCATGGAGATATTGCCTACCAAGTAATTTTGGAGAGGTAAGACATCAAATAATGTATTCCAAGTTAGTTGAGCTTTGGTTAATTTTGATGCATATGGGTGGGAAGTGGTCCTAAAATGGTAAAAGAATTGAACAAGAAGCTATATAAAGCTAGAATTTAATCACACACACACCTTTTAGTCCAAGCCACCGCCACGAAGTAAAAAAAGATTATTATTTTTACTCCCGCTGACATGGTTCTTACTCCCTTAATCCCAGTAAACCCTCACCTCGGCCGCAAATTATATCATACATCCGACTGTATGGTTATTCCCGTACAGCACGGAAAAAATTATCAGCAACACCTGTCGGAAGAGGAAGAGATAAAAGCGAAAGACAGCATGGAGCATGGCATACATCCGACGATTGAAGAGGAAGAAGAGGAGGCTGACGTATAACCCTGGCAGTGATGAAGTGAAGCTCTGCAGCTGCGATGGACATTTAGTGAAGGTGGCGATAGCTGCACGATGCGATGGGATGAACCGGATTTGTAAATCGATGAACAGTAGCTTGGATGTGCTATGCGATGATTTCGGTGAAGATGATGAGCACCATAAGCTGGAGTAATTAGATTATTACCAGAGTAGATTATATTTTCTAAATGGGAAAAGAATAAAGGGTAGTTTATTCGGGAATGAGTACTACATTATTTGAGAATGAGCACTGCTTTGTTTTAAAATGAATGCTATATCATTCGCAAATTAATATTATAATTATATTGAACAGATATGTGAAAATGAGTACTACTTTATTTCAAAATGAGTATTACCTTATTTCAAAATGAGTATTACCTTATTTCAGAATGAGTAAAACATATTTCAAAATGAACGCTTATATTTGTTCGGGAATGAGTACTACTTTACTTCAGAATGAGTACTACCCGGTTGTACCTATCTCTAGGTACAATCGGCTGTACATCATACATACTCCACCTCGGCATGACCTAAACCACTCCTCCCAAGTTGCGCTAGCTTCATCGCCATCTGACCAAACCACCAACCACTGGTTGGTAGGAACACCATTGTGGAGTAAATATAAATCTACTGAATGCTGACGTTACGGCTGTAGTTTAAGAAGAACCTGGTCACCAACGTGAAATTCCACATGTCGTCTACGGCTGTTAGCCTAGGCAGCCATCCGCTGCTACACGGCAGTGAGGTTTTTCTTCAGTTCTGTCAATATGGCTGTTCGTTCAATGAATAACTCATCGACGGTTTGGATCTTTCTAGTACCAGCTGTATAGGGCAGTAGGGAGGGGTGTTCTCGGCCATATAAAGCTTGGAAGGGATACATCTGGATACCCTCGTGGTAAGAAGTATTGCGGGCGAGTTTGGCCCATGCCAAAAATGACGCCCAGCGCGTTCGCCGTGAGTGACAGAAAGCCCGTAAGTACTGCTCCAAGCTACGATTTAACACCTCAGTTGGCCCATCCGTTTGGGGATGATAGGTCGTACTTCGGCTCAAAGTCGTCCGCTCAATGTAAAAAATCCCATCCAAAAGTTGCTTAAGAAAATGGGATCACGGTCAGAGACTATTGTTGACGGAAACCCGTGATGCTTCATAACCGTATCGACAAAAAGTGCCGCAACCCTGGGGGCGTCGAAGGATGTGGGTAAAGGAGCAAAATGTACATTTTTGCTAAGACGATCAACCACCACTCGGCAATGAACAGAACTCCTCGAGTATGCGGTAAGTGAGTGTGGAGGTGGAACCCAAACAAATCCGATCATGATAGTAAAGGAGTTCTGCATGAACTGTGTATGGCGCGGGAAGAGAATCCCGGGCAGCGGCTTCGTGCATAGTGACTAAATCCGATAAATCACTGTTCTCCCTTTTGATTTCAATTAAAACATTGGGCAGGGCCTATGGATGCGACTGCAATAGTGTCCCTGGTGTGCTCTCGGCTTCATCGCGACGCGAAAGGGCATCGGCTACATGGTTGGTCGCCCCGGATTTGGATTCGATACGAAATTTGTACCCCATTATTTTCCTGAGATAGTATTGTTAAAACGCCAGATGGGTAACATTGTTGCTGCCCCGGCGGGACATACCCCCGGCATGAGAGCTGTAGTGGCATGCCCAAAAGTGCCTTGTGCACGTAGAGGCGGATTCGGAGTTGACGATATTGTCGTTGTTTGCCATGGATGACGGGCCAACGCTGTGATGGCGGTGAAAGCCTCGAAATGATTGGCTGCCAATTCACGGGCTAGGGCAAAAGCCTGTCCCAAAGTTTAAGGTCGTCGAAGAAGTTCCTCGCGCCGGACAGGGGCTTTTAGCCCGGCAATGAAGAAGGACATTAAAGGAGCTTCGGGGACCCTAGTAACCTTGTTTAAAAGCCGCTCAAACTCCGTTTGATAATCCAACATTGTAGTCCGCTGTTGTAATTTATAGAGGAGGCCCATATAGTCTTAGTAATGTGTAGGATCAAAGCGTTGCTTAACGGCATCAAGAAAACCCCGCCAAGATGAGATAAGGTGGTTGTTACATTGATAAAAAAACCAATCGAAAGCAGGACTCTCGAAAAGTAATTCGATGAGCCGTAGACGGAGATCCTTAGGTGTCTGGAAGTAATCAAAATAAGACTGTACTTTATAAATCCATCTCGTAGGATCTTATCTATTGAATTTCGGAGCCTCAAAACGTACCTTTGGCATGCCCGGCTCGTGATAGTCGTCATGGTCCAGAAATCCTGGCAGAACCATAGGAGGACGGGGACCTACTGTTGGTGTGTTCCCCAAGAGGCCACAGTTGGGGGTGTGTTGTAGGCGGCCAGCCGTCGGGCATGGTTGAAAAGCCTTGATTAACACGGTGTACTAAAGCCAGATGCTCTTGCCGAGTCGCCTGAATCTCCAATAGTAGATTTGTTGGAGTTGTGCCCTGATGGCCAACTGTTTATGATTATTCTATCATCTATAGGCAGATATAATATGTTTACACATCTCATGCTAATGTAAACAAATATTATATTCCTAGATTTATATTTAAAGATGTTTATCAGATAGTGTTATTCTGCTGATGAGACTAACATCTTGAAATAAATATTTATCTGAATGTCCATAGTCGAGTATTAACGAGAGGGGGATATCGTTAATGCATGTGAGACTAGTGTGTGTTGGATGTTTTGACTTAGTCTCATAGTCAATGACGGTGTGTTCGCATCCGCACATGGGCAGATATTATCTGGAGATAATAGGATGCCGGACTGACCCATCCTAAAGATGTTGCTTGAACTTTTAGTTCATGCTCTAAGCATCTTTAGCGCGACCACGGGTGTAACTATCCTTCGACTTGAAGTATTACGTTTTCTGTATATGTGAACCCGCATACTTTGATGCATCGTCCTAAGCCATATGAAATAAGGATGGTATACAGGCTTTGTTTTGGGTATGCCACAGCGCGTATTCAGAAACGTAGATTACGTACATAGGATTTGTCACTACTCTTTTTAAAAGAGATTAATGTCTTATGGGGCTCACTGATAAGTCATGACTGAGGAAATTGCATGGCCATGCTGAGATGTTTTTATGACGTCTGTTCATATTAGTCAGACTTGATAAATCAATGAATGACTTAATGGATACAAGCTGGATTTTATTAATCCCTTGCATTAAGTCTAGACATTGAGACAAAGGGATATAGTTACACGGAGTCTGAGTCGTGGAAAGGTTTTGACGGTGCAAACGTCTTAACTTATAATCTGGGGACAATAATGTGTTGCTAGATACAGCTTATTGCTTATAGTATTGGTGCAGAGCCAATACTATGGCCAGCTTTATAAGTGCCTATACGAGTCACACACTTTGAACAATTTAAGGAGTAGGATTAAACAATGGGATAATAAGTAATTTGTATATTTGTAAAATAGTAAAATAAAATATTTTGGAATATAATATTATATATATATGTAAAACATTCGGTGATATATTTATATATATAAATACCGAAATATATATATATATATATATATATATATATTATGTTGAATATTTTATTTTGTTTTGTCATTTTAATTATGAAAATAATTAATTTGACATAAACTATTTAAAGTATATTTGTATACTTGTTTAAAAATGATATTGATATTTTTATTTGATTTAAAATTAATTTTATATTAATTTTTGGTGTCAAATAAAATACACTTTGAACATTTAAGTGGAGAAGAATTTAACAAATCCTTCTCAAATCAAATGTTCGGCCATGATGAGATTGTAAGGAACAAAATTTTCTTAAGTTGACATGTGATACTAATAAAGACAAATTGCCTTTTGACTTTGTTTTTAAGGATGTTTGAAATTTAGTGTATTATTGATTATTAATAATTCACAAAATTAAAAACATAAAAAGGGGTTTTGGGCTATGATTTTAGAGTGTGGTTTTTCGGCCAAAATTTCTAGTGAGAGAAATTTTATATTTGATTCCATTAATATCATTTTGTGTATAGAAAATATTTATAATATTTTCTAAATATTATTAGAAATATTTTCTATAGAAATATACAAGATTATTATTATCCCAATTTTAATCTTTATATTTTATACTACTATAATCTTTACTAGCATAAAGATTGTGGTAGACTCCGGCATTGTTCGTGTGTCAAAGTTGGAGACCGGACGCTTGAACGGTTACGTTTGCACTTTCAACACTCTTCCTACGACTTCTTCGTTTTTACCGCTTACGGAGAAAGGTACAAATTTCTTATACTATAAGTTTTAGTACGTGATTCTGGACAAGATAATCATGTTAGGATGTTAAAATTTTTATATTCCGCTGCCTATCCTTGCATGGTTACCTTTCAGATTTTGAATAGCCTGCAGGAGGTCTTCGAGGATGGTGAGCCGGTGTTCGTTTCTGACGAAGAGGCGGTATCGTCTTCCATGATGAGTACAGAGGGAAGAAAGCACCAGTGATACAGGAGAAGTAAAAGTAAAGGGGGAGAGGGGGACGACCAAGAGGAAACAGGATGACAGGAGAGAGAGAATTAGGTTTAATTCTCTTCTTCTTATTATTATGATAGAGAACCTCTCATTATATAGAATTTGAGGAGCCCAAAAAGCCTAGTAAGCTACGTTATCTATCCTGACGAATCAAGAAAAGCGACGATGTAAAGAACTGTAAAAAAAACCCTCGAAGGAGGGTTATAATTCCACTCACCTATGAAAATCCTAAAATACATTAAAATCATGCGGTAAAATATTAAACTCAATAAGGTCTTTAAAACGGGTCGGTGGTTTTACCAACCGTCCCGACCTTCTAAGATGGATCTCTCGCGCGTCACTATTGGGCTGGTCTGTCTCTGCCCATTCCAAGGATTCCTTTGCAACATAAGTCGTATCATGCTGGGCCTCTGTCAAAAATAGAGGCTGATGGCAGACAGGACATGTCTCGTTCTCAGAGAGCCACCGCTCAATGCAGGGCCCATGGAAGGCATGGAGGCACAACGGGAGGTGCCATAGCCAGTCGTGCTCCTCAAACTCTAAAAGCAAACCGGGCACTCCACATTAGTCAGGCACCCCGTGACTGAACCGAATGTGAAACCCAGGAGCTCCTCCACGTCAGAGGCGGATGGGGAAGAGAGTGCCGATGGGGATGGGGGTGCGGAGACGGGTGGAGATGGGGATGCGGAGACGGGTGGAGATGGGGGTGCGGAGATGGGAATGGGGGTGTGGCGACGGGTGCGGCGCCGGGCGTCCATTGCAT